GTATATGCGGTGAAGTGCTCTGAGACGCCTCATTGACACGATAAGTCGCTACATCAAATGCAAGGATTATTATTGCTATAATTATTGACAGGACAGGTGGGGAGCTAATGAGCAATATGATCATTAATCCCCTTCTGGGCCAAAAATCCTTTGTGGCTGTGTAATTCTGTATGTCAGTGTGCGTCTCTCTGCTTCTCTCTGTCTCTGTAAAAAAAAAACACTGTGTTTCTGAACCTGTATGTGTTTACGTGCGATGAATGGGGTGGGAGTGAGGGTAAGGGGAGGGGTAAGGGGATGGGGTGGGGGGGGGGGGAGAAAACTGAGCAAACTTAAAAAAATAAATGTTCACCGTGTTATAATCATTGTGTGTGGAGCCTGATTCTGTTAACCAGCTGGAAGTTCGCTGGGCGGCTGAACCATAGGAGATCACGGGCTTTGAGCTCACAGTCCAGGCTGGTGCTCCGGTGCAGTGTTGGGGGAACGTTCAACTGGGATCTTGTTTGCCTGTACTTTTGGGGGACTTCAAAGAACTGGTGACGGAGGCCGTTTCTCTCCCAGTCGGTGTCCTTGCCGGTAATCCCCCGGGTAACAATCCTTCCTTCACTTTATGTGGAATCCTGTAATGTAGTGGTTTGAGCACTCGCCTCGCAAAGATAGGACCCGGCTACGATCGATTCCCAGACGGGGCGACACCTTAGGCAAGTCTCCTTACTCCGCACACCCGTTTACCTAGTCCTAACAACAACAAATTACATTTGTATAGCGCCGTTCACGTCAGGAGGATGTCCCAAGGCACTGGAAGTAGGAACTTGGTTATTTGATGGACCACTTTCTAAGGGGAATAATCCCTCGACAAAAGTAGTTAGTCACTCAATCCATGATTGTTTGTGGGACACTGCTGTGTCCCCACCACAATTGACTGCCATGTTTTGACCAGAAAATACACAGACAATTCACTTTCAGGATATTCTGTGAAACACTTTGAGATTTCTCCAAGACGCAAAACGGTGCTGTATCGAATGAAAGGATTATTATTATTATTATTATTATGGTTATTTGTGAATGTTCAGGGTGGAGCTTGTGATTGTTCGGGCCGAGGCTTGTGATTGTCCGGGGCGGGGCTTGTGATTGTTCAGGGCGGGGCTTGTGATTGTTCGGGGTGGGGCTTGTGATTGTTTTTGGGCGGGGCTTGTGATTGTTCGGGGCGGGGCTTGTGATTGTTCGGGCGGGGCTTGTGATTGTTCAGGGCGGGGCTTGTGATTGTTCGGGGGGGCTTGTGATTGTTGGGGCGGAGCTTGTGATTGTTCGGGGCGGGGCTTGTGATTGTTCGGGGCGGGGTTGTGATTGTCGGGCGGGGCTTGTGATTGTTCGGGGGGGGCTTGTGATTGTTCGGGCGGGGCTTGTGATTGTTCGGGGCGGGGCTTGTGATTGTTTGGGGCGGGGCTTGTGATTGTTCGGGGCGGGGCTTGTGATTGTTCGGGGCGGGGCTTGTGATTGTTCAGGGCGGGGCTTGTGATTGTTCGGGGCGGGGTTTGTGACTGTTCCGGGCGGAGCTTGTGATTGTTCGTGGCGGGGCTTGTGATTGTTCGGGGCGGGGCTTGTGATTGTTCAGGGCGGGGCTTGTGATTGTTCGGGGCGGGGTTTGTGACTGTTCCGGGCGGAGCTTGTGACTGTTCGAGGCCGGGCTTGTTGTGATGTTTGGGGCAGGGCTTGTGATCGTTTCTTTCTTCAGTTGAACGTCAACAAGACCGAGGCTCTCCTGATTGGCACCGGTCAGCGCCTCCTCACCTCAGGCGCTGATACCATCTCCATCAGTGGTTGCACACTCCCCCTCGCTAAGCCGGTCCTGAACCCTGGGGTCTTGTTTGACCCTCAACTATCCTTCCTACCCCACATCTGTGCAATGACCCTCTCGACATCCCTCATCTCCGCAACATCGCCCGGCTCCGCCACTGTCTCACACCGCACGCCGCCCAAACCCTCATACACGCCCTTCATAACATCGAGGCTTGACTATGCCAACTCATTGCTTGTCGGCCTCCCCAACTCCTCCCTTCGTAGGCTGCAGATCATCCAGAACTCTGCAGCCCGTGTCCTCGCCTGCACCAGGCTCCGCGACCCTATCGCCCCCATCTCTGCCCAACTCCCGTCACACATCCCGTCACACAGAGGATACAGTTCAAGATCCTGGACCTCACCTTCAAAGCCCTCCATAGCCTTGCTTCCCCCTAGCACTGCGACCTCCTAACCCCCTGCCATCCTGCTCACTCACTCCGCTCAGCGGGCTCTGGGCTGCGTCACGTTCCCCACCTCACTCACCCCACTATTGGCGGTTGGGCCTTCTGCCACTCTGCCCCCACTCTCCGGAACTCCATCCCGGAGTCCCTCCGCCTCACCTCCCCTCCTTCGCCTCCTTCAAGACCCATCTGAAGACACTCTTCGATCTCCCTGCTGCCCCCCTGCCCTCCACCCTCCCCGACCCCCAGCTCGAGTCCGTAATTCTGACTGTCTAGTGCCTTGGGACATCCTCCCGATGTGAAAGTCACTTTACAAATGTAATTTTGTTGTTGTTGTTGTCATTTTTGCTTTGTGTTTCCTTACGGTTATTTCATCCCAGGCTTCCCTGATCACTTTCAGTCACAGGGAGACGAGGTGACTGCAGCTCCCTCGGGACCTCAGTGAGTATCCCTTATCCTTATCTCGTACAGAGAATCAGCTCATTAATCCGCAAACCAATTAAACCACAATGGCTTTTATATTCCCCGGAGACCCCAGAATTCCACCTGGTCTCAGCCCACAAATCAGAATTTTCCCTGGAGATTCCTACAGCTCAGCGGTTAGAGCATTCGCCTCACAAGGGAGAGCACCCGGGTTCGATTCCCGGACAGGGCGAAACCTTAGGCAGGTTTCCTTACTCCAAACACCTGCTAGGTTGTTAGTCGATTGGCGGATTGCTTTCTGGGGGTAAAAATCCCTCCAAAAATATATAATAATTTGATCACTCAATCCACGCCTGCTGTGTGCAATTGGCTGTCGCGTTCGCTCACAAAATATACAGTTAATTAACTTTTCCGGTATATCCTGTGAGGCGCTTTGAGACTTCTCAACGATGTCGCTATATCAGACGAAAGGATTCTTATTCTCTAATTGTGTCAGCCTGTGGCTCAGTCGGTAGCACTCTCGCCTGTGGGTCAGGAGGTTTAGGGTTCAAGCCCCACATTGGGCACTCTGAGTTCATAGCCTAAGATGACACTTCAATACAATGCTGGGGGGGAGCACCACAGGTTGGAGGTGTCATCCTTCTGCTGAGACGTCAAACTGAGTTCCCTTCTGTGCCTGTTCAGGTGGACGTTAAAGATCCCACTGAGCTACTTTGAGATGTCCACCTGATGCGAAAAGCGTTATAGCAAATGCAAGGATTATTATCGGCATTAATAAGACGGGACCCTTCATTCTTGAGAGAAGACATTTCAGTCGGGACTTTACACAGAAGTGTCGACAATTTTAAACGAGATTGAGAAGGTCAATAAAACAGGATTCACTGAGAGATGAGAAGAAAAGTACAAAGGGTTAGAGTTGTAAAGGGAAATTTCAGGACAGACACTAGTATTTCTTTGCCCAGAGGGTAATTAACGACTGGAATAGGGTTAGCACAAAGTCTGGTTGAAGCCAGGACACTGATGCTGTTATGGGAGATGGGTGTTCTGAAAGGATGAGATCAGATGGACCTTCTTCATCCAAAACAATCTTGTGATCCTGTGAAAGACAGACAACAAACACATCCGCAGTGATACAGGGAAGCCACCAGAGGCCACTGGCCCCAAAAGTAACTTAAAGAGTTTTGTGACCACCTGGGTGTCTGACACGCACAGAAACCCGTCACCAAGATCTCCAGACTACGAATTCCTTAGACATGTGCACGTCACCTACATGTGGAAACTTTCCTGCATCTGGAATGGAATGTGCATTCTTTCCCTGGAGAGCCGCACACCGCTTACGTAATTCCGGAGAGTTTTAGACGCAGGTTGGCAAGAGCCAAGGCTTGAAGACCTCAGAGTGTGCGTTGGGCTAACTGCTTGAGTCTAACCAGCTAAAAGCGCATAGCTTACCATTGAGAGCTGGCAAGCTTTTCCGCTGCTTGTCCAGCTAGGACCATAATAATTATAATCCTGTCATTTGATATAGCGCCTTAACATGTTGTTGATCACTTCACAGAATATACTGTAGAGTGAATTGACTGTGTAGTGTGTGGGTGAAATGTGGCAGCCAGTTGCACACAGCAACGTCCCACACACAGTCATGGGTTGAGTGACTAAATTGTTTTCGAAGGGATTATCACACCCGGAAAGTGGTCCGCCAATTGACTAAGCGCTAGGTTAACAGAGGTGTGTGGAGTAAGGAAACTTACCTGAGGTTTCGCCCGGCCTGGGAATCGAACGTGCGTCTTCTCGCTGTGCGAGGCGAGTGCTCTCACCACTACACTACGGGACGATGATGTCTGAGAAGGGTGGAGGGGATCAGTCAGCAGCTGCTGAGCCCTGCGTGTGCGTGTGTGCGTGTGTGTGTGTGGTCCGAGATGCTGGGCTAGGCTGAGACATTCCTCCACCCCCCTGTCTGTAAAGCGATCCTTCCATAATAAATTATAGAGCTGCCGGCATCAGTCGCTGGAGATTGTGGCACCCGGTTCCTTTTACACTCGTCTTTCTCTTCGACTTCACGTGACTCCTTCAGAGGAGTAATTTTTGATGAGGGTCTCGCTGTGCGAGAGGCAGCTCCAAGCTGGATATTCAACACGAGAGACAGTCGGTTGTTGCGTTGGAGCTCGCTGACACCCCCCACCCCCTCCTCTCTCTCCCTCTCTCTCTCTTTCTCTCTCTCCCCCACCCTCTCCTTACTCCTTCCCCCATTCTCTGTCTCTCCGCATTCGGAATCCTGGTGTCCTCTGACCATCAGACTCCAGGCGGGCGTCACACCAAGGACCGGCTGGAATCGAGGAGACCATGGCCCCCAAGAAGAAGAAGCCGCCCAGGAAGGAGGAGAGCGATGGAGTAGAGGGAGAAAAGGAAGAAGTGACCGAGAGACCGAAGGGCAAGAAGGAGAAGAGGAAGGTGTTGGAGGGAGAAGGGGAGGAGGGGGTGAAGAGCAAGAAAGAGAGGAACAACAACGAGACCAAGCTGAAGGAGAGGAAGAAGAAATCGCGGGACGTCGAGGAGGAGGAGGGGGAGGGAGCCGAGAAGAAAAGGAAAAAGAAGACGAAGGCCAAGGGCTCGGACGAGGAGGAAACTGAGGAGGAGGAAGAGAGAAAGGAGAAAAAGAAGGGGAAAAAGGCCAAGAGAGTTTCGGACGAGAGCGAAGAGGAGAAAAGAGAGAAGAAAAAGGACAAAGGGGATGGCAAGAAGTCAAAGGAGAAGAAAGGCAAGAAGCCCTACAATTACCAGGAGATTTATGAGCAGGAGCTCCTTCAGTACAAGACACAGTCTTCGGACGAAGATGAGGATCCATATAACAGGAAGAAAGGTGAGGACCGCACTCCTGTCTCCCAGCTCGTCTCCACGATCATGGCTTCCCGTGGCTTTTGTGTCCGTTCCCTTAATAATAATAATCATAATAATAATAATAATCCTTGCATTTGATACAGCGCCTCATCACATCTTTGAGACATCTCAAAGCGCTTCACAGAATAGACTGTAAAGCGAATTGACTGTACATTTTGTGGGCAAAACACAGCAGCCAATTGCACACAGTAACGTCCCACAAACAGCTGTGGATTAAGTGACCAAATTATTATTTTTTTTGAGGGATTATTACCCCCTGAAAGCGATCCGACAATCGACTAACAACCAGATTCCTACTTACTGTTAGGTAAACAGAGACGTGTGGAGTAAGGAAACTTTGCCTAAGGTTTCTCCCCGCCCGGGAATCAAACCCAGGTTTTCTCGCTTGCGAGGCGAGTGCTGTAACCACTACACTAGTATGGATTAATTAATGAATTAATGACCCTCACATTTGATACAGCGCCTTTCACACAGCACAAGGAGGACATCCCAAAGCACTTTGTGGGATTTCACTGTAAAGTGTAGTGATCGCATGACTTCTCGGCGAACTGTAAATCACACGGAGGAGGTTCGGGTGAAGAAGGCTGTTTGATCCATCCATTCCCCCCTCCGCCCCCCATTGCTCTTTCTTAAACAAACCCCAATTTGGGTTTCTGTTTCATAATCAGAAAATCTTCTTAAAAGCTGCATAATATGGAACAAATCTTCAACCGAGTGTTAACTTGGAATCTGATTTTTTTTATCCGCAGAGAAATCGGCTTCAGAAATTCTCCCCCATTTTAGATGCTATCAGCCTGGCTCGGTGGGTGGCAGTCCCTTCCTTGATCAAGCCCCCGGTCTAGGCTGACACTCCAGTGTAGTGCCGTCCTTCGGATGAGACGGTAAACGAGGTCCTGTCTGTCTGTTCAGGTGGTCGCTAAAAATCCCACAGCATCATTTGAAAAGAGACGGGAGTTTCTCTCTCTCTCCTGGTGTCCTGGCCAACAAACCCCCAGATAAAGCTGATCGTACACATCATGGCTCTCCGTAGGAGACTGCTGTGTGCAAATCGAGCGCCTATAAAATACAGCTGATAAACTTCACAGCATATCCTGTGAAGCGCTTTGAGACGTCACTGTATTAAATGTGAGAATTATACTTACTTTATTTCTAAAACAAACTTATTGGGTAAGGCTGGGTGGAATTTCCAAGCCCGAACTGATTGAATCATCATTATAATTAACTTTGTTTTTTTTTTAATTGGTTAAAAATCTACATTTGCCTTTTTAATCCCCTGATTTTCTCCAAATCGAGGAAAATTTATTCCCATCGTTTAAAAAAAACTCTGCATTGTAAAAATCGTGTCACGAATTTCAAAATTCCGCTTGAAGCCGAACAAAAAACAAAATAAAATAATCCTTGCATTTGATATAGGCCTTATTACGCTTTCGAGAGACGTCTCAAAGGGCTTCACGGAATACACTGTAAAACGTAGTGACTATATTTTGTGGGCCAAACGCGGCAGCCAATTGCGCACAGCAGCGTCCCACAAACAGTCGTGGGATTGAGTGACCAAATTATTTTTTTGAAGGAATTATTACCCTCGGAGCTAGCAACTGGGTTCCTACTTACCGCAAGGTAAACCGAGGCGTGCGGAGTAAGGAAACGTGCCCCTCGTCTTCCTCTTCGACCTTACAGCCACCTCCCCCTCCTCCCTGGCTCGGTGGCGTGCCGCACTAATGTCCAGCACTCTGGGACCCAACCCAGCCCGAGGGGCGCTGTGTAAATGCAAGTTGTTGTTGTTCCAAACTCTCTGGGATGAGGTGAGTCCCTCAGGGGGGGAGAGAGTCCATAGGAACATATGAACAGGAGGAGGCCATTCAGCCCCTTGAGCCTGTTCCGCCATTCTATAAGATTGTGGCTAATCTGTACCTCAGTTCCAATTACCCGCCTTTGTCCAATATCCCTTGATGCCCTGACATAACATAAATATTCCAAAAGGGATATTTGTGCGCATCCAAAGGGAAATTTCTTTGGGTCTCTTTCGTTTGGAGACTCTCTTGAGTCTGCCTGACCCAAGAATGATTCTTCCATTCTCTCCAGGATCACCCCAACGCCCCCCCCGCGTGCCACTTCCCAGCCTGGCTCAGTGGTAGTGCTCTCGCCTCGGAGCCAGAAAGTTGTGGGTTCAAACCCTACATCAGGAATTTGAGCTCACAGTCGAGGCTGTTGCTTTAATACAGTGCTGAGGGGAACACAGCATTGATGTCGGTCCCATCCTTTGGACAAGACCTTAAACCGAGGTCCCGTCTGTGCTTGTTTGAGTGGACGTTAACGATCTCCAAAGTTCCCTTGAAAAAGAGAAGGGAGTTTCTCTCTCTCTCTTTCTCTTTCTCTCTCTCTCCCTGTGTCCTGGCCAATAACACCCCCCTCCCCCAGATAAAATCAGTCGCTCACTCCATGGCTGTTTGTGAGACGCTGCTGTGTGCAAACTGGCACCAGCCCAAAAGAATACACAGCGGCTACACTTTACAGTAAATCCTGTGAAGCGTTTTGAGATGAGATGTCTCGACGCTGTGATAAGGTGCGATATCAAACGCGAGGATTGTTGTCACCACCCAGCAGAGTATCCCCTGTCCCCTCGCTGCATGGCGGCCTCAGGTCCTTGCCACAGGAAGCTGCCGTGAATGGGATTGGAGTGTAAAATATTTAGTGGCTGAGACGGGGTATTGATTGCACTGGAAGCACTCAGCATCACACATGATCTGGCGCTCAAACGACACGTGGTACAGAGGTCAGCACAGCCTTTGTTCTCTCTGGACTCGGTGTAAGGTGCTAAGCGAGGGGAGGGGGAGAGGGGAGATTATAGACCCCCCCGTCTCACTTGCTTTCCTAAATTACTCACGAAATACGGTCAATTCACTTTACAGTGTATCCTGTGAAGCGCTTTGAGACGTCTCGACGACGTGATTACGTGATTAGTCCAGCTTTTATTTTATAATGATAATAATCCTGGCATCTGGTACAGCGCCTTATCACGTCTTCGTGACGTCTCAGAGCGCTTCACAGGATACACTGTAACGTGAATTGACTGTATATTTGTGGGCAAAACGCAGCAGCCAATTGCCCACAGCAGCGTCCCAGCAACAGTCGTGGATTGAGTGACCAAGTCATTATGTTATTTTATTTTTTTTCTTGAGGGATTATTATCAGACGTGTGGAGTAAGGAAACTTGCCCGAGGCGGGAATCGAACCCAGGTCTCTGGCTTGTGAGGCGAGCGCTCTAACCACTGAGCTACAGGACTCCATGAAGATGTCAGCCTGGCTCAGTGAGAGCGCTCTCTCTCTTCTGAGTCAGAAGGTTGTGCGTCGGGATTGGAAACACATAGTCTAAGATGACACTCCAATGCAGTGATGGGGGGGGTGGGTGGGGTGTTGCATTGTCAGAGGTGCCGTCCTTTGGTTGAGACATTAAACTGAGGTCCTGTCTGCCTGTTCAGGTGGATGTTAAAGATCCCCACGATCTATTTGAAAAGAGAAGGGAGTTTCTCTCTCTCTCTTCTGGTGTCCTGGCCAACAATCCCACAAATAACTCTGATGGCTCACTCCACGGCTGTTTGTGGGACGCTGCTGTGCGTACATTGGCTGCCGTTTTCGCCCACAAAATACACAGTCAATCCACTCTACAATATATTTTATGAAGCGCTTTGAGTCGACTCGACGATGTGATAAGGTGCTGTATCAAATGCGTATCATGATTATTATTTTTATTATTATTATTACCTCTTCTGGTCACATCTTGTGGTTCCTTTTGACCATCCTCTAACCTCCAGCTACTCACTGTCTCCCCCATCAGCCCCTTGTGAGTGCTCCGAGGTTCTGCCTTGCGTGAAGGGCGCTATATAAATGCAAGTTGTTGTTGTCTACTCACTGTTTTCCTCCCTCCCCAACCCCCCCACCCCACACACACACACACACACATATCTACTCACCATCTACCTGCTTGCGAGCCAATGATATCAATGGCAAGCTATGTGGTTTTAGCTGGTTAGACTCCAGCAGTTACCCCCAACTCACACTCTGGGGTCCCCAAGCCTTGGCTCTCACCAACCTGCGCCTAATACTCTCTGGAATTAGATAAACAGGATGCCTCCCTCCAGGGAGAGAGAGAGTATTCCATTCCAATAATCTATCAGCTTGGTTTGGAGACTCTTGAGCACGTTGATGGGTTTCCCCATGTGTCGGACACCCGGCTGAGCAAACAGAAGAGTCAACATCTCCTCCCCTGCTCTCACCTCCTCAGTCCCCACTCAAGCCAGTCACTCCATGCTCTCACTGATCCCTCTTCGCTCTCCCCCCCACCCCCCCAACACGCTCCCCCGCTGCTCTCCCCCATTCCCCACCACCCACCACTCCCCGTTCCCCCCTCACCCCCCCACCATTCCCTCCCCCGCTCTCCCCCTTTCCTCTCCAACACCCTCGCTCTCCCCCCCCCACTCCTCTTCCCCCACTTTTTACCCCCTTCTCCCCCCTCCTTCGGTTTCCCCCCCTCACCCCTCTCCCCCCACAGTGTTCGAGGTGGTGACAGTCACGGGGGATGTGCGAGGGGCCGGCACTGATGCCAACATCTTCGTCACACTCTTCGGGGTGTTCGGGATCACCCCCAAAGTCCATCTGTCCAGCAAGTAAGTAACAGCCCCTCACACCCACTCCTCCCGGGGCAGGTGTGTGAGTGTGGGAGTGAGCGTCAATGTGTGTGTGAGTATGTGGGTCAGTGTGTGGATGAGTGTGTGCGAGTGAGTGAGTGTGACTGTGAGTGTGAGCATGAGTGTATGTGTATGAGTGTGCACGAGCGTGAATGTGAGCATCAGTGTATGTGAGGATGTGTGTGAATGTATCGTGAGTGTGAGTGACAACGAGTGCCAGTGAGTGGAACCATCGCTCGGTGGGAAGGGACATGGACCTGAGCTGTGGACAGGAAGATGGTGGCAATGCTCTCGCACATTTCATGCTGAGCTGCGTTACGCACCGGGAAGCTCACAGGGTGGTCCTGGTACCTGCCAGCCACCCAGTGAGGCTCAAACTTGTGCGTGTCGGTTGTCAAATGACCAACTAGTGACTGTCCTCCTTGAATGGGGAGATAAGTAGGGGCTCCTTGGAGCTGAGGTAAATCAATGGCTCAGGTCATTGGCAGTTGCTGTCCAACCTTATTTAATTTAATCTGCAACACGTACAGTGGAGTCCTGTAGCTCAGTGTTCAGAGCACTCGCCTCGCAACTGAAAGGACCTGGGTTCGATTCCTGGGCAGGCCAAAACCTTAGGCAAGTTTCCTTCCTCCACTATCCTTTCTACCCCACATCCGTGCCATTACCCGCTCTGCCTTGCCCCACCTCTGCAACATTGCCCGATTCCGCCACTGTCTCACACCGCAGGCCACCGAAACCCTCATACACGCATTCAATAACATCCAGGCTTAACTATGCAAACTCATTGCTTGTCGGCCTCCCCAACTCCTCCCTCCATAGGCTGCAGGTCATCCAGAGCTCTGCATCCTGTGTCCTCTCCCGCACCAGGCTCCGTTACCCTACCACCCCCATCCTCACCCTAGTTTACTGACTCCCATCACACCGAGGATACAGTTCAAGATCCTGGTTCTCACCTTCAAAGCCCTCCATGACCTTGCTCCCCTTTAGCTCTGTAACCTCCTAAACCCCCTACTGTCCTGCTCGCTCCCTCTGCTCAGCGGGCTCCGGCCTGCTTCCCGTCTCCCGCCTCACATGCCCCACCATTGGCAGGCGAGCCTTCTGCCACTCTGCCCCCACCCTCTGGAACTCCATCCCACAGTCCCTCTGCCTCATCCCCTCCCTTGCCACCTTCGAGACCTATCTCAAGATCCTCCTCTTTGACCGTGCTTTTGATCACCCTGCTTCCCCCCCGCCCTCCCCCCTCCCCAATCAATAGGTACATGGAAAGGAAACATTTGCAGGACTATGGTGTAACAGCGGGGGAGTGGGACTAGTGGGTAGTGGCACAGACACGATGGGCCTCCTTCTGTGCTGATGATTCCATGGTAAGGCGCTATATCAAACCCAAGGATTATTATTATTATTATTATTATTATTATTAAAGCTGTCTTCCGGAATGTGTGAAGTGAAGACTTCTGCTTAGCGCAGAGGAGCAAAAGCATTTTGTGGCGACCAGGAATCTTAACCGTAACTTTGTGTTCATCCCACCTACAGCACCGAGAAGAGGTACCGACTGCTTTTATAGGTTCAGCCCCACCTCAGACCAGGAGAACAATGACTGTGTTTGGCTTTAGTAGAGGTGCCTGTGTTGGTTTGCCAGAAAATGCATGATGTTCCAGACCTCTTTTGCTATATTTTGTCATCGGGCAGTCAGAGGTTAAAATAGGCGATGTCTCCGCTGTGATCTACTCCCTAAGCCCCCCCCCACCCCCCCCCCCAGCCCATCAGAGAACCCCCATACGTGGAGTGGTGCAGTGTAGTGGTCAGCGCATTTGCCTCACAAGCGAGAGGACCCAGGTTCGATTCCTGGGCAGAGTGAAACCTTAGGCAAGTGTCCTTACTCCACAGGCCTCTGTTGGTGGTTAGTCCATTGGCGAATTGTAATAATCCCTCCAAAAACAGACGTGTTAAGGCTCTCTATCAAATGCAAGGATTATTATTATTATGACCAGTCCTCGCCAGACTCCTCGCCCGTATACTCACTCACTCCAAACTCCGTTCCCGGATCACCCCAGTCCTCGTCAGGCTCCGCTGGCTCCATATCACAGAACGGATCGATTTCGAGATCCTCTCACTCATCTATAAATCGCTTCATGCTCTGGCACCTCCGTACCTCTCCGACCTCTTACTCCTGGAGCCACTGCCTGCTGGCTCTGGCCTTTTGTTTTGATTCGCCCTCGCCACCCCACCCCCCCCCCGCTCCACCAACCGTGGCCACTTCACCCTGAACCTGTGGAACACTCTTCCTAAATCCCTGGCCTTGTCCCCTCCTCCTCTTTTAGATCAAGTCTAAATACCTTCCTCTTCGACCCTGCCTGCCGTCACCTCCACCTTTTTCCCCAGCTCGGCATCAGGCTCCGCCACTGTTAGCCACTCCTCCATGCTATCCTGCATGGATGGCACTGTGTAAGTTCAAGTTGTTGTTGTTTACCTCTCCATGTGTACACACACCCTCCGGAAATCCCTCCGCCTTCCTCCCTCCCTCCCTCTCCGCTTTCAAAACCCGTCTAAAAGCCTTCCTCTTTGACCGCGCCTTTAGTCGACCCCCTTGTATTCCCCCCCACCGACCCCCCACCCCACCCCAATCTCAGCTCCCATTCCATCTTTGTCAAGAGCTTTGAGACGCTCTCCAACATGGGAAGCTTTGCGTTAGTGTGAGTGGCTCTATGTTATTCTCTCCAACCCAGTGTTCATTCTTCACCACCAGATGGGGATGTTTGCCTTTTTATTTGAGGCAAACGGATCAAAGGGGGATAGAAAAATCATAGGAACTGAGGCACATAGGAACAGGAGTAGGCCATTCAGCCCGTCAAGCCTGTTCCGCCATTCTATTAGATCATGGCTGATCTGTACTTCAACTCCAATTGAGTGCCTCTTCCCCACCCACCCTCTCCCAGTGCGGGGCGCTGTATAAATGCAAGTACTGTTGTTGGTGTTGATGTTGATGGTGAGAGTTTAGCTTCTCGTCGGCAAACCATAGGAAAAAAGATGGAACATCATGAATTTTCAGAGCCTGAGCAGGCTGTGCGGGAGGAGTGTTGGTGTAGAGAGATGTACTGGTCTCTCGACTCTTTTCAAAGCTTCACAAACTGCATGGGTTTCCAGACCTCAGTACCACAGCCTTTCAAAGGGACCCCATCCCATCCCATTCAGCCACAACCCCCACTCCTCTGAAGACTGCTGTGGCCCCTTTAAATCGGGAGCGGGACCTAGGAGTCGGGAGGTTGTGGGTTTGAGCGCCCCCCCCCTCCCCCCCCGCCCCACCCCCACCCCACGTCGGGGGCTTTGAACTCACAGTCCAGGCTGTGCGCTGTTCATGTGGATGTTGAAGATCCTTTGGGACTAGTGTCCTGACCGATAATTTCCCAGATACAATCATTTGCTCACTTCGTGGCTGTTTTTTGGGACCTTGCTGTACGCAAATCGGTTGCCCACAAAAATACTACAGTCACTACGCATGACAGTAAGCTCCTGTGAAGCGCTTTGAGGCATCTCGACGACGTGATAAGGTGGCGTGAGGTTGGTCATGGTGGTAAGAGGATGGAAAGCCATGCAAAATGGAGATGGAACAGATCAGATAACTTCCTGTTTCCCGGCCACTGGGGAGGGGTGGGGGGCGACATTGGAGAAGACGCAATGATGTTCCTGCTGTTTTATCAACAAACATTTGGACGGAGATGGAGGAAGTAGGGAGAGGAAGTTAGGGAAGAGGGAGGAGGCGTCTGGAGGCTAATAAAACACTGGAACATCACTCGTCTTCTGTCCTGAGTATCCGAACTTCCCACCGCTACCCCCCACCCCAGGCGTGTCTGTCTCTCCTGAGGTTTTTATCCTTTTCCCCCGGGAAGGTAAAATACATGATATTTCAGACCCATTAGTCCTGCCCATTCTCCTGGGATTCCTGGGAAACGGCCGGGACTTCCCCCGGGAATGGCGGATAAATGGGATGGAACGCCATGTATGGTCTTATTTTTAGTGTTTTGTTTTGTGGGAAAAGCTTGCGCCGTTCCTGATTTAACGTGGCTGCCTCCCGCTCCCTCTCTCCCTCCCTCCCTCCCTCCTGCCGCAGCCCCCTATTTCCCAGGTAAGTGGTTCTTTCCTCTTCAGCGGAAGCCATTTTGCTTCAATCAGAAGAGGTCGATTTTTGTAAATCTCGGCCCCCCCCCGGTAAGAACATTACAACTCTCGCTCTTCCCCATGCCAAACCTTCCGCCCACGAAAGCTCCCTATGTAGAGCCTAAAATTTCCAACATTAAAAGTCATCCGCCTCCGATTGAAAGGAAATGGCAGCCACCAGGAATTGCAGAGGAAGAGCCACCTGACTGCTGCCACCTGGTGGTGATGGTTCGTCGGTTGAGGAACGCCGCAAACTTTACTCCGTGAATCTTATGTGATAAGTTTGTGACTTTTGAGATCGATTAGGATTCTTGCGGGATGAGGTTTCCGGGAGGGGGGAGTGAGGCCGCAGAGGAGTTGTGGGCTGGGGGGGAGGGGAAGGGGAGTGGCGAGGGGGAATGAGTGGGAAGGGAAGTTATGGGGGTAAGGAGAATGGTGGGAGAAGTGGGGCTACTGAGGGGTGGGAGGTTGGGGAAAGGAAAAGATGAGAGTGACAAGTGGGGGTGTCGGGGGTTCGGAGGTTGAAGTAACTTGTAATGTTTTATAATTACCAGAGAGAATGTGGGCTATGAGTTGTCATCGAGTTGACGGGATTGAGGGGGGAAGAGGGGGAGTGGGGGGTAAGATGGGGAGGGGAGGGGAGAGTGTGCTGTGAAGGCTGTGTGAGGGCTCCAGGCCGCCTGACCCCCCACCTCCCTCTCTGTGTCTCCTCTATTCCAGGAGCAAGACGGCCTTTGAGAAGAACAAGACTGATGTCTTCCGGGTCAAGACGAACAATGTGGGGTTGCTCCAGAAACTCAGGTGTGTTGTTGCTTTGGTAACGCAATTGGGGAGGGGGCGGGCGGGGGGGGGGTGCAGAACAGTCGCTGGGGGCAAGGAATCATCCCACTCATCCCACTGTGCTTGGAAGGGCAGAGCAGTCACGAGAGTCTGGGAATCATCCCTCTTAGCTGTTAACAATGCAAACCAAAGCCCTACCTGGTAGGATGGTCCAAGCAGTGGGAAAGCTGGCCAGACTGCGCTCTGAGCTGGGTAGACTCCAGCAGTTACCCCAACACACGCTCTGAGGTCCTCAAGCCTTGGCTCTTGCCAACCCGCGCCTAATATTCTCCGGAATTAAGTAAGCGGGATGTGTCCCTCCAGGGAGAGAGAGAGAGGTATCCATTCCAACAATCTATCTCTGGGATTTCCGTGCGGAGATGGGATGCAGGGAATTCCCAGTTTGGTTTGGAGACTCTTAAGCAACGGTGATGGGTTTCTCCATGTGTCAGACACCCGGCTGACCGCCCCCCCACCACCCCCCCCAAAAAATAATCTGTATTTTTGGCATGGTATTGCTGTGCTGTTGCGATTGTATCGCTGTGTTGTTTCCATGGTAACACACGGTGCTGTTGCTTGTTAATGCGGTGTTATTGCCATAGTAACGGCTTCACTTCGCTGTGTTGCCAGGATCGAGCACGACAACACGGGAATGAACGCCAGCTGGTTCCTGGACCGCGTGGTGGTGACCGAAATGAACCGGCCACATCTGCGCTTCTACTTCCCCTGTAACCAATGGCTGAGCCGCGAGGAGGGCGATGGACTGCACGTCAGGGACCTCCTGGGCAGCCTCAACCCCATGGATGTGCCCAAACGTGAGTCTGAAACTCTCCATGTTACTCCCACCTTTCCCAACATAACCCATCCCAACATAACCCAGCCCAACCCCAGCCCAACTCAACCCCAGCCCAACCAAACCCAACCCAACCCCAGCCCAACTGAACCCAGCCCAACCCAACTCAACCCATCCCAACCCAACCCAAACTCAGCCCAGCCCAACTCAACCCAACCCAACCCAATATCAGCCCAACTAAACCCAGCCCAGCCCAACCTAATCTAACCCAGCCCAAACCCAGCCCAACCCAACCCCATCCCAACATAACTCATCCCAACATAACCCATCCCAACATAACCCAACCAAACATAACCCAACCCAACTCAACCCAACCACAGCCCAGTCCAGCCTAACTGAACCCAGCCCAACCCAACCTAATCTAACCCAGCCCAATCCAACCCATACCCAGCCCAATCCCTTCCCAACCCCAGCCCAATCCAAGCGACCCCAGTCCAACCAAACCCCAGATCAACCTAACCCCACCCCAGTCCAACCCAACCCCAGCCCAACCCCAGCCCAACCCAATCCTAGCCCAGTCCAATCCATCCCAACCCCAGCCCATCCCAACCCCAGCCCAACCCAACCCCAGCCCAACCCAATACAACTCCAACCCAGCTAACCCAACCCCAACCCAGCCCAACCTAAGCTAACTCAGCCCAGCCTCAGCCCAACCCAACCCTAGCCCAGCCCAACCAAACCCCAACCCAGCTAACCCAACTCCAACCCAACCCCAGGCCAACCCTAGCCCAGCCCAACCAAATCCCAAGACAGCTAACTCAAACCCAGCCCAACCCAACCTAAGCTAACCCAACCCAACCCCAGCCCAACCCCAAACTAACCCCAACCCAGCCCAACCTAACCCAGCCCAGCTCAACTCAACCCAGCCCCAGCTCAACTCACCCCAATTCAACCCAACCCCAGCCCAACCCAACCCAACCTAACCTAACCCAGCCCAACCGAACTCCAGCCCAGCCCAACCCCAACCCAACCCAGCCCAACCCTGTGTATACTGTGTATGTATGTTCTGTGGGCACATGTCTCTGCCTGTGGCATATGGGTCTCTAGCATGTCTTTGTGGGCTGTGCATGTCTGTGGTGTACACTCTGTATATATAGTGTGCGTGTATAGTATGTGTACTGTGCTTGCGTGTGTGCAGTGTGTGAGTGAGGTGTGTGTGTGGTGTGTGTGTGTATGCAGTGCGTTGTGTGCGCATGTGTGTGTGCGTGCCCTGTGTTCCCCTCCTGTTATCATTGTCGCTGCTGTGGTAAAGCTGTCTCTCTCTCTCTTGCTCTCTCTCCCCAGTAAACAAGTACATTGTCAGTGTGTTCACACCCGATATGAAGGGCAGTGGCACAGACGCGGACGTCTTCCTTAACATGTTCGGCGAGAATGGGGACACGGGTAAAACCGTAACCATAACCGTGTGCTCCACAGCACCGCCCGCATTTACACGCCTTCACAGCTGTGTGTGTGTGTGTGTGTATCTCTCTCTCTCTCTCTCTCTCTTGCTCATTCAAACCATTACGAACCCGTAGCATATTGGTTTAGAGCGCTCGCCTTACAAGCGAGAGGACCCGGGTTCGATTCCAAGCAGAGCGAAACTTTAGGCAAGTTTCCTTGCTTCACACGCCTCTGTTTACCTAGCGGTAAGTAGGAACCCGTTTGTTAATCAATGAGCGGATCATTTTCCGGGGGTAATAATCCCAATAAAACTTTCCCAAATTTGGTCACTCATTCCACAGCTGCTTGTGGCACCGTGTTTTGGGTGAGACGTTGACCCGTCTGTGCTCTGTTCAGGCGGACGTTGAAGAGAGGAAGGGGGTTTCTCTCTGCCCAACAATCCCCCGGATAAATCTATGGGCTGACAGCGAGACCGTGCTGTAAAGTATCCTTTCTCTCACTGTCTCTGTCTTTCTTTTTCATGCTTTAGCCAGTCTTCTCTCTCCTTTATTTCCCTCTCTCTTTCTTCCCCTCTCTCTCCTCTTTCTCCCTTTCTCTCTCTCTTCCTTTCTCCACGTCCCCCCCCAAGCACACGCACCAACACGCTCACACACATACCCACATACACGCACACAAATACACACCCACACATGCACACACACATACGCACACATGCGCACTCACTCACACACACACACACATGCCCACGCTCGCACGCCCACACACACACACACACACACACACACGGGTGTGCGCACACATACGTGATGCTGTGTGTCCCACAGGGGAGAGGCGGCTGGACAATGACAAGAATAACTTTGAGAAAGGCAGCGAGGACAAGTTCACCATCGACTCCCCCAACCTCGGCCGCCTGCAAAAAATCACCATCGGCCACAACAACAAGGGCTCGTCCGCAGGCTGGTTCCTGGACAAGGTTTGTCATAGAGAGAGAGAGAGAGTGGGAGGGGGAGAGAAACTGTGTGAGAGGCAGAGGGAGAGAGAGGCAGAGGGAGAGAAAGGCAGAGAGAGAGAGAGAGAGAGAGAGAGAGAGAGACAGAGGGAGAGGGTGATGGAGAGAGAGGGAGAGAGTGAGAGCGAGTTTACTGTTGTGTTACGGTGGGTGAGGACAGGCTGTGCCGTGGCCTGGTCTCCCCTGAACCCCAGTGTGTGTGTGTGTGTGTGTGTGTGTTTGTGTGTGTTTTCCCGCTCGGGCAGGTATAATCCCTGCGTGTGTTGTATCTCTAGGTGTGCATTGACGACATTGGCAATAAAACCCTGTACGAATTCCCTGTGAACCGCTGGTTTGCGATGGACGAAGACGATGGCAAAATCCAGCGGGATGTCCTGGTGGGAGGGATGCACGCCACAGGTGAGCGAGGGAATGGGGGCTCCAGATTCCCTCCCGCTCTTAGCCTGAGGACCATTCCATCTTTTTTTCCTCTTGGTCTGACACATGTGGAAACCCATCACTGTTGCTTAAGAGTCTCCAAACTAAGCTGAGAATTCCCGACACATGGAAATCCCAGAGATAGATTGTTGGAATGGAATGCGCTCTCTCACTCTCTCCCTGGAGGGAGTCATCCTTCTTACCTAATTCCGGAAAGTATTAGGCGCAGGTTGGCAAGAGCCAAGGCTTGGGGACCCCCAGGCGTTGGGGGAACTGCTGGAGTCTAACCAGCTAAAATCACATAGCCTGCCATTGATATCAGCTACGACCACCCTACAGGAGTCTTGTAGCTCAGTGTGGAGTAAGGAAACTTGCCCAAGGTTTCACCCTCTGCCTGGAATTGAACTCAGTCTCTCGCTTGCAAAGCGAGTGCTCTAACCACTGAGCTACAAGACACAACACAACCGATTGGCTGTTGTGTTTCATCTGTAAAATACAGTCCACTTTACAGTGTGTCCGTGAAGCGCTTTTGGACGTCTGAATGACCTGATAGGGCATCATATCAAATGCAAGGATTATTCATAGAATCATAGAATTGTACAGCACAAAAAGAGGCCATTCGGCCCATCGAGTCTGTGCGGCTCTTTGAACAGAGCAATTAATGTCAGTCCCACTCCTCAGCCCTTTCCCCATAACCTGCAATCCCATCCTCTTCAAATACCCGTCCACCGCGTTTTTAAAAGTAGTTATCGAATCGGCCTCGACCGCCCTTTCAGGCAATGGGTTCCAGATCCAAACAACTCGTTGCGTTAAAATTTCTTCTCACCTCCCCTCGGCTTCTTTTAGAGACTATTTTGAATCTGTGACCCCGAGTCACCGACACACCCACCAGTGGGAACAGTTTTTCCTTTCTAACCTATCAAATCCCCTCATGATTTTGAAGACCTCTATTAGGTCCTCGTAACCTTCTCTGCTCCAATGAGAATAATCCCGGTCTCTCTCGCCTTTCCTCATCACGGTCCCTCATTCCTGGTCCCATCCTCGTAAATCTCCTCTGTACCCTTTCCAATGCCTTAACGTCCTTCCTATAGTGTGGGGCCCAGAACTGGGGCAGTATTCTAACTGAGGCCTAACCAATGTTTATATGGGTTAATCATCACCTCCTGACTCTTGTACTCTATGCCCCTATTTATAAAGCCCAGTATCCCATATGCCCTTTTTACAGCCTTATCTCCCTGTCCTGCCACCTTCAAGGATTCATTTACCTGCCCCCCCCAGGTCTCTCTGTTCTTTTGCCCCCTTTAAGATTGTATTATCGCCTATATTGGCCCTCATTCTTTATACCAAAATGCATTACCTCACATTTCTCCACATTGAAACTCATCTGCCATGTGTCACCCATTTTACCGTTCTGTCTATGTCTTCCTGCAGTCGGCTCCTATCCTTCTCACTGTTTACCCCCCTACCCAATAATATATTATTATTCTATTCAGCCCCTCGAGCCAGTTCAGCCATTTTAATTGAATCGTGGGCTGATCTGTGCCTCAACCCCAATCATTAATAAATATTAAAATGTCGATCCGATGAACTATTGCTCTGTCCAGGGATTGTTTACAATGTCTCGGTGATAACGGGCGACGTGCGAGGGGCCGGCACTAACTCCAAGATCCACATCCTGCTCCACGGCACCAAGGGGATGAAGAACAGCGGGAAGATCTTTCTAGAAGGCGGGCAGTTTGAGCGGGCGCAGATCGACATCTTCAACGTGGAGATCGCGGCGCTGCTCAGCCCCCTCAGCCGTGTCACCATCGGCCACGATAACTGCGGCGTCAGCTCAGGATGGTTCTGTGAGAAGGTGAGAGGGGAAGGCGGGGTAAATACCCGGTTATTTGCCCTAACTTGTGCCTCAGCCGCTCCGTGCTCTCATCTCTAGGCAGGGGTTTGTGGGTTCAAGCCCCCACACATCATTCCCCCCATCATCCACCCGCCCATGTTGTCTCAGTGCAGGCTGCGGCTCCAGTGTAGCACTGGGGGGGAGGGGGGGTTGTGTGGTGCGGAGAGAGCACCTCATTGACATGGAACCTCTCCTCTCCAACTTTAATAATAATAGAAATCCCGTGTTGCTGGTGTGAGCGGTTACAGCGATGGTTACGGTGATGGTGACTGTGCTACCGGTTACAGGTGGTGGTTTACTGCCCGTTCACCGGTATTGAGCAGACGTTCCCGTGTGGGAAGTGGCTGGACGAGGACGAGGGAGACGGGCTGATCGAGCGGGAGTTGTACGAGATGGTTTCACTGCGGCAGAAACGTCAAAAGAGCAAGTATCACATCCAGCCCCACCCTGACTCCGCCCCAGCCCCACCCGAACCCCGCCCCTAGCTCCACCTCAATTCCGCCCCCAGCTCCACCCTGACTCTGCCCCCAGCTCCAATGCCAGGTCCACCCTGATTCCGCCCCCAGCTCCACCCTCGACTCCTCCTCAGCTCCGCTCTCGGCTCCGCTCTCTCTCCACCCTCGGCTCTCCACTCTGCCCGAGCTCAGCCTCACCCTCCAGCGCCCAGACGTGCTCCAAGATGCTACACTCATAAAGACGCTGTTGTTGTTGTTCTTGGCATCTCTCCCCCTCTTACCCCTGCTCCAAATTCTCAATGATAGCAATCTTGTCGCTGAGTCAGAAGGTTGTGGGATCAAGCCCCACATTGGAATCGTTTAATCTAAGCGTGGAGTCCTGTAGCTCAGTGGTTAGAGCACTCGCTTTGCAAGTGAGAGACCTGAGTTCAATTCCAGGCAGAGGGCGAAACCTTGGGCAAGTTTCCTTACTCCACACAGAGCCTAATAATGATCCCTCCAAAACCAAACAATAATAAATTGGCCATTTTCAATCCACGACTGTTTGTGGGACATTGCTGTGCGCAATTGGCTGCCGCGTTCGCCCACAAATATACAGTCAATTCACTTTACAGTGTGTTCTGTGAAGCGCTTTGGGACGTCCTCCCGACGTGAAAAGCGCTATATCAAATGCAAGGATTATTATTATTATTATTATTATTATAAGCTGACACTCCAATGAGGTGCTGGTGGGGGAAATGGCACTGTCAGAGACACCATACTTCAGATGGGACATTAAACCAAAGTCCCGTCTGCCTGATCAGGTGGACGTTAAAGATCCCATGACACTACTCGAAAAGAGAAGGGAGTTTCTGTCTCTCTCTCTCTCTCTCCCGGTGTTCTGGCCAACAATCCCCAAATAAAATTGGTCAATCAATCCATAGCTGTTTGTGGGACATTACTGTGCGCAAACTGCTGTGTTTCACCCACAAAATGCAGAATAACCTCTCTCCCGGTGACTCTCCCTCTTTCTCCCGGTGACTCTCCCTCTCTCTCCTGGTGACTCTCTCTCTTTCTCCGGGTGACTCTCTCTCTCTCTCCTGGTGACTCTCTCTCTCTCCCGGTGACTCTCTCCCGGCAACTCTCTCTCTCTCTCCCGGTGACTCTCTCTCCCGGCGACTCTCTCTCTCTCTCTCCCGGCGACTCTCTCTCTCTCTCTCCCGGCGACTCTCTCTCTCTCCCGGCGACTCTCTCTCTCTCTCTCTCTCCCGGCGACTCTCTCTCTCTCTCTCCCGACGACTCTCTCTCTCTCCTGGCGGCTCTCTCTCTCTCTCCTGGTGACTCTCTCCCTCTCCCGGGGACTCTCTCTCCCTCTCTCTCTCTCCCCCGGTGATTCCCTCTCTCTCCTGGTGACTCTCTCCCTCTCCTGGTGACTCTCTCTCTCTCTCTCTCTCTCTCTCCCGGCCACACTCTCCTGGCCACTCTCTCCCGGTGACACTCTCTTTCTCCTGGTGACGCTCTCTCTCTCTCTCCTGGTGACTCTCTCTCTCCCGGCGACTCTCTCTCTCTCCTGGCCACTCTCTCCCGGCCACTCTCTCCCGGTGACGCTCTCTCTCTCCCGGCGACTCTCTCTCTCTCCTGACGACTCTCTCTCTCCCGGCGACTCTCTCAGTGATTCTCCCCTGGTGACTGTCACGGTGATGTTGTTGGCAGAGCACCCCTGGTCGCTGTGGATCTGGACGAGTGACATTAAGAGCGCCGGCACGGACGCCAGCGTCTTCCTGCAGATTTACGGCGACAAAGGCAAGAGCAACGAGATGCGCCTGGACAACAACTCCGACAACTTCGAGAACGGCCAGATTGACAAGTTCATGGTGTGTGAGCACTGGGGAGTGTCCCCCCGCGAGCGTGTCACCCCGAGCGTGTCACCCCGAGCGTGTCACCCCGAGCGTGTCACCCCGAGCATGTCACCCCGAGCGTGTCCCCACGAGCGTGTCCCCGCGAGCGTGTCAGCCGTGAGCCTGTCAGGCACAGATGGGTCAACTAGAAACGTGTCCACCACAAGCAAGTGCGGAGCAAGTGTGTGCAGAGTCCGTGTGCAAGAACCGAGTGTGCGAGGGGAATGAGCAGGATGTGAGTGTGCGGAGTGAGCGTGCGAGGAGCGTGTGTGTGAGGGACGGGTGTGCGTTCGCCAGGAGGAGATCTGAAATCACATTTGACGTTACCTCTGACTGGGAAGGACTGTAAGTGTCTGGGACATGACTTGCTGTTGGCAGATTGAGCTGCCAGACCTGGGCATCCTGACCAAGCTGAGGATCTGGCATGAGAAGAGGCACCCGTTTGCCGGCTGGCATTTAAACCGGGTATGTCCCTGGCATGTTCCCCTCACCCCCCCCCCACCATCTACACCACATTACACCAAATCCCTTCTACCCGTTAGCATCGCCCCCCTCCCACACACACGGAGCCCCTCACACTCACCCCTCGTTCCTCATGAGCTTTGGCATCCATTGAACCTTGAAGCTTATCCTAAACTTCACCGCCCCCACCCCACCCTCACCAAAGAAGTCACCATTCTTTGAATGAGCGGTTAAACCATAGTCTCATCTGCCTGGTCAGGTGTCATTTGTGGAGTCCTGTAGCTCAGTGGTTAGAGCACTCGCTTTGCAAGCGAGAGACCTGAGTTCAATTCCAGGCAGAGGGCGAAACCTTGGGCAAGTTCCCTTACTCCACACAGAGCCTAATAATAATCCCTCCAAAACCAAAAACAATAATAAATTGGTCATTTTCAATCTACGACTGTTTGTGGGACATTGCTATGCGCAATTGGCTGCCGCGTTCGCCCACAAATATACAGTCAATTCACTTTACAGTGTGTTCTGTGAAACGCTTTGGGACGTCCTCCCGACGTGAAAAGCGCTATATCAAATGCGAGGATTATTATTATTATTTGTTATTTAGACTGTTAATTTAGTGTTATTTGGAGTTGAGGTAAAGAATAGTCATGATCGAATGGCAGAACAGACTTGAGAGGCTGAATGTCCTCCTCCTGTTCCTATTTCCCTATGTGCTTATGCTATTGAAGTGTAAGGGTTCATTTATTTTCATGGCCCTGCGTTAAAGTAAGGACTGACACAAATGTTGTACAATTAACCGAGGTTTATTAATTCAGATTAATAATGGTTATAATTAACTAAAATGCATTGAATTATGCTGACGTATCCTGTAGTTCACAACGATTTAAGTCAATCAATCCCATCGTGTGGGAGAGATAGAGGAGTAATGTCAATTTAATGTCCAATTTAACGTCCAATTTGAATCCAAATATATGTCCATCAAAAGGGATCCAAGTATTATTGTACGGTTCCCCGTTGGATATCACCCAAACATATCCAGGTATTATTGTACATTTAGAGTTGTTTAAATCACAATCTTGATCTTCCTTCTTTAGAAGCTGGAATATGATTCGCGACTCCAAGTTCCAATTTCTTTTTTCTCTTTCGAATCGATCTCAGTTTATGCCGTTGATGAGGTGACCTTTCACTTTTGCAAGATGGTTCCCTTGTAAAAACTAATGCAACACAGGCTCTCTCCAGCAGCAGAACATATTTCCATGAGAGAATGACTGATAAGGAATGAAAACAGTTTGTTGCTTATAAATAGGCTTTTGTTTCCACTCTACAAAGCTCATCACAACCGACTCCCCTCATATGAGATTGATCATATGTTTCAAATATATAAACATCGCAAATATCATTTAAGATATTATTTAACATATTAATTACTGAAGTCCCACTACTCGAAAAGAGAGGGGAATTTCTCACTCCTGCCCGACAATCCCCCAGATAAAATTGGTCACTCAATCCATGGCTGTTTGCGTGAAATTGCTGTGTGCAAATTGGTTGCCGCGTTTGCCTACAAAATACACAGTGACTGCGCGTGACAGTATATCCTGAGAAGGGCACAGACGGAAACGTCAGCCTGGACTGTGAACTCTGAGACCCCAGTGAGGTGTGGGGTCTGAGCCCCCAGTGTGGGTTGTGGGCCCCCTGGTTGGGGTTGTGAGTCCTGTCTCTCTCTGTCCCCGCAGGTCAGTTTGCTGAAGTCTCTGACCCAAGAGAAATACGACTTCAAGTGTAATCGCTGGCTGGACATGAACGAGGACGACCACGAGATCATCCGGGAGCTGACAGCCGAGGGGCCCCTCGTGCCGAACGTCCTTCCCGGTGAGTTACCGTTACCCGGATTTTCTACCAACCGTCCCCAGCCCAGGAAGCCTCCCCTCTCGCTGAGGCTGGTATCCGTGGCACTAACAAGCTGCGGTTTGCCCTCCAGCAAACACTGGAGATCAAGCGCTCTGGGACGCTGCCCTGCGTGTGGGGCGCTATATAAATGCTTGTTGTAGTTGATGTTGTAGTTGATGTTATTGTTGATATTGATGATCTTGTTGTTGATAATGTTGTTGATAATGTTGTTGATAATGTTGTTGTTAATATTGTTGATGGTGTTCATGTTGTTGATGTTGTTGCTAATGTTGTTGTTGATGATGATGTTGATGATGATGTTGATGATGATGTTGATGATGTTGTTGTTGATGATGATGTTGTTGTTGATGATGATGATGATGATGATGATGTTGATGATGATGATGTTGATGATGACGATGTTGATGATGATGTTGATGATGATGTTGATGATGACGATGTCGATGATGATGTTGATGATGATGTTGATGATGATGATGTTGATGATGATGATGATTATGTTGTTGATGATGTTGTTGTTGTTGATGATGATGTTGATGATGTTGTTGATGATGTTGTTGATGATGATGATGATTATGTTGTTGATGATGTTCTTGTTGATGATGTTGTTGATGATGTTGTTGTTGATGATGATGATGATTATGTTGATGATGTTGTTGTTGTTGATGATGATGTTGATGATGTTGTTGTTGATGATGTTCTTGATGTTGTCATCGTTGTTGGCCGCTCAGTGCTGAAGTACCGGGTGGTGATCTACACGGGCACAAAGAGTGGCAGTGGCACAGATGCCAACGTGTATATCTGCCTGGTGGGAGAGCTCGGCGACACCGGGGAGAGAGCACTGTACGACAGCAAGAACAATGTCAACAAGTTTGAGAAAGCCAACGTGAGTTTCCACCGCCTTACTCCTCTGCTCCTCACTGACCCTCATTAACTGTGTGTGTGTGTGTTTCTCTGTCTCTCTCTCTATCCTTCTCTGACTCTAACCTTCTCTGACGCTCTGTGTGTGTGTGTCTCTCTCTGTGTGTCTCTATCCCTCTCTGACTTTGTGCGTGTCTTTGACTCTCTCTTGCTCGGTCTCTCTCTTTTTGACCCTGTGTGTGTGTGTCTGACTCTCTCAATCCCTTTCCCTCCCTCTCTCTGACTGTGTGTGTGTGTGTTTCGCTCTCTCTCTCTCTCTCTCTCTGACATTCTCTCTCTCCCTCCTTCTCTCTCTGTGTCTCTCACCCCAATACCCAGGCCGACGAGTTCCTGATCGAGTCAGTGAAACTGGGGCGAGTGAAGCGTGTCAGGGTGGGCCATGATGGTCGGGGAGGGACCTGCGGCTGGTACCTGGATAAGGTGGTAGTGAAGGAAGAGACAGCCCCCGAGTCCCAGGCCGTGGAGTTCCCCTGTAACAGGTCTGTGTGTGTCTGTATCTGAGAACAGGGAATCGCACCTCAAACACAAGAGTGAATAACAGTAAATGTTAATATGATAATAATCGTGGCATTGGATACGGTGCCTAATGGCGTCTTTTTTTGGTCGGTTTGCTCCGATCCGCCAGTTGACTAACACCCGGGTTCCTACTTACTTTGGCTTTGGTTCCTATGCGATCGACTTCAGGATCCTCTCACTCTCGTGTTCAAATCCCTTCACTCCCTGGACCCTCCTTCCCTCCCTCCCTCCCTCCCTCCCTCCCTCCCTCCCTCCCCCCCTCCCTCCCTCCTTCTCCGACCTCCTCACTCGCCAATCCACCACCCGGCACCTCCGCTCGACTGGCACCGGCTCCTGCTCGTCCCTCGCACCCTCCATCGCCGGTCGCGGTTTCAGTCTCTACGCTCCAAAAGTTTGGAACACTCTCCCTCAATCCCTCCGCCTTGTCCCCTCTCCCTCCTTTTTCAAGTCCCACCTGAAAACTTTCCTCTTCGACAGTGCGTACAGCCACACCACCCCCCCCCCCCACCCCACCTCGGCTCGGAGTCAGACTCCGCCACTGTTAGGCGCTCTGAGGCGCTAACCTGCGTGTAGGGCACTATATAAGTGCCAGTTGTTGTTGTTGTTACGGTGTGATTCCCTATTCCTTGTTTAGGGAAACAGAGATGTAGAGTAAGGAAACTTGCCTAAGCTTTTGCCCTGCCCAGAAATCGAACCTAAGTCCTCTCACTTGCATGGCGAGCGCATTCACTGCTGCATAACAGCACTTCACATACATTATACACACACCTTACACACCTCGTAAATATACCTTATACACACGGTAAATAAACCTAATAGGCACAGTAAATACACCTCACACACAAAATAAATACATTTCGCACACACAGTAAATACACCTTATACACTCGGTAAATACACCTTATAAACTCGTTAAATACACCTTATAAACTCATTAAATACACCTTATACACACGGTAAATAAACCTCATACACACAGCAAATACACCTCATACACACAGTAAATACACATTGTACACACAGTAAATACACATTATACAACAGTGAATACAACATGTTTCTGGAAGGGAAACACAAAAATATTACTTACCTGGCCCGCGGATGTTTCTCAAATGGGGCCTCTGGCCCTCAGCAGCCAGAAGGTTGGACCTCCCCCCCGCCCCCCCCCCGGCTTAGACTATTTAGTTCCAAGTCCTGACTTGGGGCTTGAACCCACAACCTTCTCACTCAAAAGCGAGAGTGCTACCACTGCACCACAAAGATGGCAGCACTGTTGCTTTGCGGGTTCCAGCCCCAAATTGGGACTCTGAGCTCTCAGTCCGGTGCAGTGATGAGGGAGTCCTGCTTTGTCGTAGGTGCCGCGCTTCAGATGAGATGTTAAACCGAGGTCCCGTTTGCCTGTTCAGATTGATGCTAAAGATCTCTGGCACTATTGGAAACGAGAAGGGAGTCTCTCTCTCTCTCTCCCGGTGTCCTGGCCAACCATCCTCCAGATAAAATGGGTCACTCACCTTCACGGTTGTTTCTGGGACGTTGCTGTGTGCAAACTGGATGTTGCGTTCGCCCAAAGAATACACACAGTCACTACACTTCAAAGTGAACCCTATGAAGTGCTTTGACACATCTGCTAATGTGAAAGATGCTATGCTGAACGTAAGAATTATTAATGATATTATTGTTATCGTTGTGCTTATATCTGTTTGTCTTCGTGCCCAGGTGGCTGGACAGGAATGAGGATGATGGACAGATAGTCCGGGAGCTGGTCCCAGCCGGAGATGCTCAAATGCTTAAAAGTGAGTGAACATAATAATTATTATTACTATTATAAAAATAATAAGTTTTGGTATCATCGATTGGATGATCAAAGATCTGAAAAATATCATAGAAAAATGTGAAAATTGTTGACCATTCATGGCCTACATGACATAAAAGCTGATGTTCAACGTATGTATGTATGTATGTATATATTGTGGAGTCCCCTAATGGTTAGAGCACTCACCTCGTAAGCGAGAGGAACCAGGTTCGATTCTCGGTTGGGGCAAAACCTTAGGCAAGTTTCCTTACTCCACACGCTCCTGTTTATCTAGCAGTAAATAGGAACCCAGTGGTTAGTCGATTGGCGGACCAATTTCCAGGGGTAATAATTCCTCCAGAAAAAGAAAATTGGTTACTCAATCCGTAACTGTGTTGGACTCTGCTCTGTGTAATTGGCGACTGTGATCACCCACAAAAATATACAGTCAATCCACTTTAGAATATATTCTGTGGAGGGCTTTGAGACAACAACGTACATATATATAGCACCCCCTCACGCAGGGTAGGGTCCCAGGGTCCTCTCGAAGATGTGATAAGGCATTGTATCAAATGCAAGGATTATTATAATTAGGATATTGTAGGGTTATAATAAGATGTCGCTGCTGCTGTTTCATTTCAAATCCCGTTCCGCCCTCGCGCCTCCCTACCTATTCGATCTTCTTACTCCCCACTCCACCCACTGCCTCCGCTAGGCCGGCTCCAGCCTCCTACGCCTCGTGCTCCCCTCTCCATCATTGGCAGCCGTGCTGCCAGCCACCTCTGGAACTCCCACCCTCAATCCCTCCGCCTTGCCCTCTCCCTCCCCGTTTTCAAATCTCGCCTAAAGACCTTCATTTTTGACCGTGCTTACGGTCACCTCCGCGCGCCCCCCCCCTCCCTCACCCCCTGGCTCAGGATCAGGCTCTGCCCTGTGTGACAGGCACTATATAAATGCGCTGTATAAATTTTGTGGCTGCTGTTTCATTGCAGATATCAGCTACCACGTGCTGGTGAAGACGGGGAATGTGGCCGGAGCCAGCAGTGACTCCAAGGTGTTTATCAAGCTGTACGGGGAGAAGGGCGACACCAGCCGGCAGTTCCTGGTTGTGTCGGACAATGACCTCAGGAACTACTTTGAGAGGGGCCGTGTGGATATCTTCACTGTGGAAACCATGGACATTGGCAGAGTAGGTGCTCGGGGGAGGGTGGGGGCAGATAAAGGTGGAGGGAGATCAGAGTGTAACCAACTTTGGGGTTAATGTTTGTGATGGTTTTAAGCATTGCACATATCACTAGTGTCACCCCTCCTACTGAGGGTCTTCCTCCTTCAGACCACAAACAGTCACTTTACAGCATATCCTGTGATGGGCTTTGAGACGTCTAGAAGACTTGAAACGGTACTATATCAAACGCAAGGATTATTATTTTTATATTATAACCTTGATGTTATTTATGTTGACGGTGTCTTTTTTATTCATGTGCACAATAATCTTGTTGTTATTTACGTTTATGTTAACCTGGTTATTATTAATGTTGACGGTCGCCTGTGTTTGTTTGTCTACGGTGTAGATCCACCGCCTGTTAATTGGCCATGACAATGTTGGGCTGAGGGCCGGCTGGTTCCTGGACAGCGTGCAGATCAAGGTGCCGACTCACGGCAAGGAATACATGTTCCCCTCTCACCGGTGGCTGTGCCGAGACGAGGCGGACGGCAAGACCGAGATCGAAATCTACCCCAGCGAGGTCCTGGAGATAGAGAAACGTGAGGACCACTGAGGGTACCGGTTACAGTACAGGAGGAGGCTGTCCTGCTCATTCTGTCTGTGCTAGTCCTCGCTCTCTCCCCCACTGGAGCTCTCTACTCTAACCCCATTCCCTGCTCTCTCTCTCCCCATCGTGTCTGTGCTGGTGCTCGCTCCCCCACTGGAGCTCTCTACTCTAACCCCATTCGCTGCTCTCTCCCCATCGTGTCTGTGCTGGTGCTCGCTCCCCCACTGGAGCTCTCTACTCTAACCCCATTCGCTGCTCTCTGCCCATCGTGTCTGTGCTGGTGCGCGCTCCCCCACTGGAGCTCTCTACTCTAACCCCATTCGCTGCTCTCTCTCTCCCCATCGTGTCTGTGCTAGTGCTCGCTCCCCCACTGGAGCTCTCTACTCTAACCCCATTCGCTGCTCTCTCTCTCCCCATCGTGTCTGTGCTGGTGCTCGCTCCCCCACTGGAGCTCTCTACTCTAACCCCATTCGCTGCTCTCTCTCCCCATCGTGTCTGTGCTGGTGCTCGCTCCCCCACTGGAGCTCTCTACTCTAACCCCATTCGCTGCTCTCTGCCCATCGTGTCTGTGCTGGTGCTCTCTCCCCCACTGGAGCTCTCTACTCTAACCCCATTCGCTGCTCTCTCTCTCCCCATTGTGTCTGTGCTGGTGCTCGCTCTCCCACTGGAGCTCTCTACTCTAACCCCATTCGCTGCTCTCTCCCCATCGTGTCTGTGCTGGTGCTCGCTCCCCACTGGAGCTCTCTACTCTAACCCCATCCCCTGCTCTCTCCCCATCGTGTCTGCTGGGTCAGGCGACGTGTTGCTGTCCTCCAACACTGTGTGAGTATGTGAGGTAGAGGGGTGGGGGGTTGACTGTAACACTGAGTGTGTGAGGCGGGGGTGGGGGGTGGGGGGGTACTCACTCGCCCTCTCTTGTGACCAGTGATAAACTACGAGGTACAGGTGCAGACGGGTAACGTGAGGAGCGCGGGCACCAACGCCCAGATCTTCATCCAGATTTACGGGGAGAACGGGAAAACCGAGGTCATCGACCTCCGCAGCCGCTCAGACAACTTTGAGCGAGCGGCCATGGACATCTTCAAGGTGGGTCATCGAGAGAGAGGAAGAGGGAGGGGAGATTGTGGGGTGGCGTGGGGTGTTTTGGGGTGGGTGGGGTAGTTGCCTGGATCTGATAGAGGTGTGGATGAGGGTTTTGTGTGCGTGGGGAGGATGTGGAGATAGAGGAGAACAGATTAGGAAGGACAGTTGGGGCTGTATAGATTGTGGATGGAGTCAGGTGAATTGGGACCAGGTTGCAGTTGGGTTGGGTATAGCTGGAGTGGGGTGGGGGGGGCGTTGTCAGTTGGTCAGGGTGGGGTCAAGTGGGTTCAGGACCCTATCCCATATGAGGGACTCTATATATTTATATAGCAAATTATTCTTGTTGAAAAATAATGTGTGAGTCACCCCCTCATTCTGCCTCCCTTCCTCTCCCCCCAATCCCCACCCCCCCCCCATCCCCCCATCCCCCTGCCCTGAGCAGATCCAGGCAACGGACGTGGGCAAACTGATCAAAATCCGCATCGGACACGACGGCAGTGGAATGGGGGACGGCTGGTATCTGGAGACAGTCTCCATCAGCCGGCTGAGCTGGCGACCAGCGGCCGAAGAGAAGAAGAAGAAAAAGAAAAACAAGAAGAAGAAGGGGGCGGCGGAGGAGGAGGAGACTCCGAGTGGGGGGGAGGAGGTGGTGGAAACGTTCACCTTCCTGTGTCAGCGCTGGTTGGCTACGGACGAGGAGGACGGAGAGCTGGTGGTGGAGCTGCTGCCCGAGGGTGTTGAGGACCTGGAAGGTGTGGCTCGGGGAGGGGCAGGATGGTGGTGGGAGGGGGGTAGAGGGGTGGTGGGAGAGACAGGAGGGGGGTGGGAGGAGCTGCTAACAGTGGAAATCCTGCCCCAACTGCTCAAACCATTCCCTGGCCTCCAAAGGGTTTGGGCTTCCAACCTTGTGAGCGAGCGACCAGTTTTATTGGGGGGGATTGTTGGCCAGGACACTGGGGGAGAGAGGAACTTCCTTCTCTTTGCAAATAGTGCATGGGATCTTTACCTGAACACACAGACCAGACCTTAGTTTAACGTCTCAACCAAGGACGGCACCTCCAACAATGCAACACTCCCCCAGCGCTGCATTGGAGCCTTGTCTTAAAACGGTGAGGTTGTGGAGTTGGAGGGGATTAGGACAGGAGAGGGAATTGTTTTTTTCTCCTCCTGATATTTCTCTGAGGTCTCTTTTTACACTCGCCCCATCTTCCCCCCACCCGCCGCCTTCCCCTCCTCAACACCATTCTCCCCCACAACCGATGACCACCTTTGCTCCTGCAGAGAACTCTTACGAGGTTCATGTCTTCACGGGAAAAGTAACAGGCGCGGGAACAGACGCCAACGTCTTCATCAACATCTACGGTGAAGTGGGTGACACTGGGGAGCGGCAGTTGAGGAAATCCGGCAACCTCAACAAGTTTGAGAAGGGGCAGGTTCGCTGGTTCTACGTCCATTTCCATCTTGGTTCACTCCAAATTTCGCCCCCCTCCCCGGTCCCTCTTCATCCTGTCCTCTATGCCCTCGCCCAACCCCTTCTCCCTGTGCAGGCATGTCCCTGTGTTTCCATGTTCCCATGTCCCTGTGTTCCCATATCCCCGCTTTGGCATGTCCACGCATTTGCATGTCCCCGTATTCCTGTGTCACCGTTGGCGTGCTGCTTTGTCGCGTGTTATTGGCGTGATCCCACCAGCCTGTGCTTGCGGTGTAGGAGGATGTGTTCATGCTGAAAGCCGCTGACCTGGGAACACTGAAAAAACTCCGCATCCGTCACGACAACTCCAGTGGCAGCGCCGGCTGGTTCCTCAATGAGGTGGAGATCGTCGACCTGAAGGATGACACCTTGTGAGTATCTGGGGGGAGAGAGGATCTGAGGGGGCAGTAGATGGTATCTCCTTATAACAGAAGGTGACATGTTTGGCAACGGAATGTCGAAATCAAGCACAGCTCTCTGACGGTCTCTAATCCAGGAGGGTCCGCAGTATTCCAGGGCACTGGAGATGACAGCACAGCCCAGCCTGGCTCATCGCAGGATCTAAGGGACCAGTCGCTGAGGGCAGGGAATCCTCCCACTCAGTTAACCCTGCAAGCCATAGCCCTAACAGGTAGGGTGTTCCCAGCGGGTCAAGCAGCGGGAAAGCTTGCCAGGCAGCGATATCAATGACAAGCTGTGTGGTTTAACTGGTTAGACTCCCAACAGTTACCCCAACACACACTCTGGGGTCCCCAAAACTTGGCTCTTGCCAACCTGGGCCTAGTACTTTCTGGAATTAGGTTTGGAGACTCTTAAACACGGTGATGGGTCTGAGGGGGGAAAAAGAGTGAGGATCTAAGGGGGGAGAGAGCGCAAGGACCTAATACCTCCCCTGACACCCCCAGGTATTTCTTCCCCTGTGAGCGCTGGTTGGCTGTGGATGAAGATGATGGACAGATTGCGAGGGAGCTGGTGCCGGTGAATGAGGCTTTCCTGAAGAAAGGCTCAGATGATGAGCAAGCTACACTCGGGCTGGAGCAGAAAGGTCAGGAGCTCAGCCAACAGGACACACCTGGAAACAGCGTCCAGCTGGAATTCTGTGTCAACAGCAACAACACATTACATTTGCACAGCGACTTTCATGTCAGGAGGACGTCCCAAGGCACTGGACAGTCAGGAATTTGGACCCAAGCTGGGGGTTGGGATTAGGGAGGGTGGAGGGCAGGGAGGGTAGGGGTAGGAGGGTGGCCAAGAGTGCATTCGAAGAGGAGGGTCTCGAGATGGACATTAAAGGGGGCACAGGAGGGGGCGAGGTGAAGGGACTATGGGGTGGAGTTACAAAGGGTGGGCAGAAAGACTAAAGGCCTGACCGTGGATGGTGGGTTGGACCGGGTGGGTAACAGGGAGCAAGCCGGAGTCTGCTGAGTGGAGGGAGCGGACAGTTCGGTATGGGCTCAGCAGGTCGCAGAGGTAGGGAGGAGCTAGGCTCGAGAGGGCTTGTCCAGCTCTGGTCAGGCCGAGCCTGGAGTACCGATTCCAGCTGTGGTCAGGGATGGACTCAATGTTCTTTGGTGTAGCTATGGTCAGGTTTGGTGCTGGTGTGTATAACTGTGTGTATAACCAATGCTCTCTGTATCTGGCAGCTCAGTCCACCACCTACACCGTGAGGGTCAAAACTGGGGACAAGAAAAACGCAGGCACCGACTCCAACATCTTCATCAACCTTTACGGGGAGCACGACGACACCGGTACATGGAGCGAGGCGGGGTCAGCAGAGGGGTGGGGCGTGGCCAGGGCGGGGGTCAGCAGAGGGGTGGGGTGTGGCCAGGGCAGGGTCAGGAATCGGGAGAGGCGGGAGTGAGGGTGGAGTCAGGGTGGGGTCGGTGCAGAGTGAGGGCAGGCTCAGGGTGGGGTCAGGGTAGGGTTTGGACGGGGTCTGGGCAGGGATAGGATGAGGCTGAGGTAGCGGGTTTGGGTCAGGGTGGGGCCGACGTTTGGTGGTTGTATTTTTTCAGACCATTTCTCACCTCGCTCCCCGCGCCCCCCAGAGGCTGACATATCGGTGGGGAGGGGGGGGTGGGGGGTAGCCCATCATCATGCTTAACAGTCTCCAAACTTGTGAGAATTCCGCAACCCTGTCTCCCTCCCCTCCCCACCCCGTTCCGGCTGTCCCCTCCCTCTCCTGCTCACCCTATCCACCCCTCCCTCCATCCGGTAGTCATGTAGTGGTTAGAGCGCTCGCCTTGGAAGTGGGAGGACCCGGGTTTGATTCCCGGGCAGGGCGAAACCTTAGGCAAGTTTCCTTACTCCGCACACCTCTGTTTACCCTGCTCACCTAGTAAATAATAATAGTTTGGTCACTCAATCTACGACTGTTTGTGCGACGCTGCTGTGTCCGATTGGCTCTTCTTCCAAAAAACACACAGTCACTACACTTTGTAGTATATTCTGCGAAGCGCTTTGAGACGTCTCAAAGGTGTGATAAGGCCCCGTATCAAATGCAAGGATAATAATTATTATTATTATATCCTCACCCTGTCCTCATGTTTCCCTCTCTCCTTCACCCTATCCCCCTCCCCCAGGTGTCGTGAACCTCAAGTCCTCGAAGATGAACAAGAACAAGTTTGAGCGAGGACAGGTGGACGAGTTTATAGTGGAGGCCGTGGACCTGGGGCCACTCAGGAAGATCCGAGTCGGACACAACAACTGCAGTGAGTACCCCCCCCCCACCCCCCGCCGCGCCCCCACGGTCTCAGAACCATTTCATTTTCTGCTCAGCCGGGTGTCTGACACATGAGGAAACCCATCACCATTGCTTAAGAGTCTCCAAACCAAACGGAGAATTCCCTGCATCCCATCTCCGCACGGGAATCCCAGAGATAGATTGTTGGAATGGAATGCGCTCTCTCACTCTCTCCCTGAGGGACACATCCTGCTTACCTCGTTCCAGAGAGTATTAGGTGCAGGTTGGCAAGAGCCATAGCCCTAACAGGTAGGGTGATCCTAGCAGGACAAGCAGCGGGAAAGCTTGCCAAGTCTGCGTTGGGGTAACTGCTAGTGCTAAATTGTATAGTTTGCTGAGGCATCGACAACACCAAATTGCACTTATACAGCGCCTTTCATGAAATGAGGACGTCCAAAGATGCTGGACGATTAAGGGTTTGCACCCGAACTGTGGGTTGGGATCAGAGAGGGGTGGAGGGCAAGGGAGGGGGTGGGGGTGGAAGAAGAAAAGTCCCAAAAGGAAGGTCTTGAAACGGGCCCTGAAGGAGGCAAGGGAGGAGGCGAGGATGGAGTTCCAGAGGGTGGAGGCAGAAAGGCTGAAGGCCTGATAGTCGATGGTGGAGCATATCTGGGGGTGGGAGGGGTGGGTGGACATTGATTAGTCTAGTGCCTGAAGAGTGGAGGGAGCAAACAGGTTGTGTGTGTGTTTGGGGGGATGGGAGGGTGAGGAGACAACGGGCCGAGTGGGCTCCATCTGTGCAGTGAGTTGCCTGTGTTCTCAGTGTTCATTCCCCCCACCCAGATGGGTCTCCCGGCTGGTTCCTGGATTGGGTGGAGATTGACGCTCCCTCTCTCGGACGGCGGCTGAGGTTCCCGTGCGGGCGATGGCTGGACAAGAGGGAGGATGACGGAGCCATTGTGCGGGACCTTGTCCCCGCGAGCTTGCAAACCGTGGAATATGTGCCATGTAAGTGGGGATTCACAGCGGGAGTGAGCGGGTAGGAGTTGGGGCCGTTGCGAGTGTGGACGATGGGAGTGAGTGGGCGGCTGCCCGCGGTGTGAGACAGTGGCAGAGCCGGGCGATGTTGTGGAGGTGGGGGAAGGCAGTGTCGGTCTCTCTCACTGCACTGTGCGCGGTGGGGGGCGGGGGGTGTGTGCTGTGTGGGGATGGGGGCTGTGTTGGGGGTGCTGTGTGCGTGGCGGGGGTTGTGTGTGCGGGGTGGGGCTGTGTGTTTGTGGGGTGAGGGGCTGTGTGTGTGTGGGGTGGGATGCTGCGTGTATGGGGTGCTGTGTGTTGTGTGGGGGGGGTTGGGGAGAGCTGTGTGTGGGGCGCGGGGGGGTGGCTGTATGTGTGTGTGAGGCTGACCCTCGTCGTGCTGTGCTAGTTGTGCCCTACGAGATCACGGTATTCACCAGTGACCGTTACGGAGCGGGAACGGACGCTGACGTCTCTGTGGTGCTGTACGGCCTGGACGGGGTCTGTAGCCAGAAGAGGTCCCTGTGTGTCAACAAGCGGGAGCGACGCATGTACTTCAAGAGAGGAGCCACCAACAAGTTCATCGTGGAGGTGAGTCTGAGTGGGGCAGCGGGGTTGGGGGGGGGGGGTGGGTGTGGGTGGGGGATGAGTTGGGGGCGCAAGGATGGAGTGCAGAGCGCCAGCAATCCTTTATATAATGTGCAACGCAGCTGAGAAACTTTATACAGTGATCAACCACAACTTACACAGTGTCCTTCATGCAGGTTAGCGTCCCAGAGCGCTTAACAATGGCGGAGCCTGGCACCGAGCCAGGGTTGGGGGGTGGGTGGGAGGAGGTGACCGTAAGCACCGTCAAAGTGGAAGGTCTTCAGGCGTGATCTGAAGATGGGGAAGGAAGGGGCGAGGCGGAGGGATTGAGGGAGAGTGTTCCAGAGTTTCGGGGCCTATTGGATGAAAGCGCGGCCACCAGTGATGGAGCGGAAGGGACGAGGGGCAAACGGGAGGCCAGAGGCCAGAGCGGAGGCAGCTGGTAGTGGAGTGGGGAGTGGGAGTCGGAGAGATAGGGAGGTGCCAGGGCATGAAGTGATTTGTAGAGGATCTTGAAGTCGATCAGTTCTGTGATAGGGAACAGTGACGAGCACTGGGGTGATGGGCATGGAGTTTAGTGCAGGTGACTATGAGTGGTGGAGTTCTGTATTAACTGTAGTTTATGGGTAGTAGAGCTGGGGAGGCCACCAAAGAGGGCATTGGAGTAGTGCCAGTATTGACAGACAGGCAGGCTGGCACGGTGTGACTGGCAGGGAGGCAGGCTGGCACGGTGTGACTGGCAGGGAGGCAGGCTGGCACGGTGTGACTGGCTGGGAGGCAGGCTGGCACGGTGTGACTGGCAGGGGGGCAGGCTGGCACGGTGTGACTGGCAGGGGGGCAGGCTGGCACGGTGTGACTGGCAGGGGGCAGGCTGGCACGGTGTGACTGGCAGGGGGGCAGGCTGGCACGGTGTGACTGGCAGGGAGGCAGGCTGGCACGGTGTGACTGGCAGGGAGGCAGGCTGGCACGGTGTGACTGGCAGGGAGGCAGGCTGGCACGGTGTGACTGGCAGGGAGGCAGGCTGGCACGGTGTGACTGGCAGGGAGGCAGGCTGGCACGGTGTGACTGGCAGGGAGGCAGGCTGGCACGGTGTGACTGGCAGGGAGGCAGGCTGGCACGGTGTGACTGGCTGGGAGGCAGGCTGGCACGGTGTGACTGGCAGGGAGGCAGGCTGGCACGGTGTGACTGGCAGGGAGGCAGGCTGGCACACACACCGTGTAACATTAAAAACTCATCCCTCCCTCTTCTCTATCTCACTCTTTACCTCTCGCTGTCTCTGTCTTTGTCTCTTTCTGTTTTTCTCTCTCTTCCTCCCTCTCCCCCCCTCTTCCTCATCCCTTCTCGCCCCCCCCCTCTTCTCGCCTCCCCTTCTCGCCCCCTCTTCTCTCCCGCTCTCTGCTGTTATCATCCCCCCTCCACCCCCTCTCTGCCCCTTCTCTCTCCCCCCACCCCTTCCCCCCCCCTCCTCTTTGCCCCCCAGCTGGCAGACGTGGGGGAGAGTATAGAGAAGCTGCGGGTTGAACACAATGGACGGGGCCTGAACTCAGGTTGGCATCTGGACCGTGTGGAGATCCGCCGACTGCTTCCCAAGGGAAAGGTGAGGGAATACCGGGAAAGCCAGGAAGTGGGGCTCAGCAATGCATGGTGACAAGGTACACTTAAGGGTGTGGTGGTGATTTTTTTGGGTCAGCCTTTACTAAACCACATTATATTTTTGGGGAGGGTCAGCCAGGTGTCTAACACGTACGGAAACCCATCACCATTGCTTAAGAGTCTCCAAACCAATCCAAGCTGAGAATTCCCTGCATCCCACCTACACATGGAAGTCCCAGTGATAGGTTTTTGGAATGAATGCGCTCTCTCACTCTCCCTGGAGGGAGAAATCCTGCTTACCTAATTCCAGGGAGTATTAGGCGCAGGTTGGCAAGAGCCAAGGCTTGGGGACCCCAGAGTGTGCGTTGGGGGTAACCAGCTAAAACCACATAGCTTGCCATTGAGAGCGCTGATGGAGGGTGAGTGTGGGGGATGTTTAGGACAGGGAGAGAGGGTGTGTGAGTATATGTTGATGCCACTGACTGACAGTAATCGCCGTGCACAGGGCTCGGAGACGGTGATCTTCCCTTGTGAGCGCTGGCTGGCCAAGTCCGAGGATGATGGTGAGATCGTTCGGGAGCTGGTGCCCAGCACCATCATCCAGGAGCGTTTGCAGCGAGATGGCACGTTAGCCTGCAGCGAGACCGATGTGGAGGAGCCACTAGAGAGTGAGTGATAGCGGGCGCGCTCTCGTCTCCCAGGCAGGAGGTTGTGGGTTCAAGCCCCACGTCAGGATTTGGAATCGCATAGTCTAAGCTGACGCTCCAATGCAGCGCTGAGGGGGTGTTGCATGGTCGAAGCTGCGGTCCCTAGGATGAGACATTAAACCGGTCTGCCTGTTCACGTGAATCATAGAATCTTACCGCACAGAAGGAGGCCATTCGGCCCATCGTGCTCTTTGAAAGAGCTGCCAACTAGTCCCACCCCCCCCCCGCAATGGAATCGTATGTTGTCAAAGATCCCCGGGCACTATTCAAAAAAAAGAAAGGAGTTTCTCTCTCTCCCGGTGTCCTGGCCAGCAATCGACCAGATAGAATCAGCCACTCGCTCTATAGCTGTTTGTGGGACGCTGCTGTGTGCAAATTGGTTGTCTCATTTCACCCCCATAATACACATTATATTCTGGAAACCGCTTCGAGACAACTCAGCAACGTGATAAGGCGCTATATCATATAGAGGTGTTTCGTGGTGGCAGTGATTTGTGTCCGAATGGCTTCTGCGAGGAGGTGTGGGTCAAATCCGTGGCCATTTTTTTTTGTGTCTCGACGGTGACACCCCGAGCTTCTCCCTGCGTCCTGATGACATTCATAAACCCTGCGAAATGTTTGGATGGTGTAGAATTAGGTTGGCAGGTTTACAATTTTAATCAGGAAGTGACGGCAACAGCACGTCAACAACAACAACTTGTATTTATATGGCGTCCCCTCATTGCAGAGCAGAGAGCACAGCTTGCGAACTGACATCAGCAACGATGCGCTAACCTGGAAGTACTGACCAGCGGCCATGGTTTTGCCTGCACCCCGGTCTGCGTCTGTTGAGGGTTCTGATGTTAGAATGTGAGTTCCTGTTTCCTCAGCTCACACCTACAAGGTGTCCGTCTCCACCGGAGACGTCTATGGAGCCGGGACTGATGCCAACGTCTTCCTCACTGTCTACGGGGACCTGGGAGACACCGGCGAGCGCAAACTCAGCAAATCCGAGGACCACTCCAACAAGTTTGAGCGAGGACAGGTCAGTAAGAGAGGAGCAGGGGCTCTGGGGGTGGGAGAGAGGGTCTGGGGTTAGAGAGAGAGATGGGGTTAGAGGGTTAGAGAGAGAGAGAGAGAGGGGTGTCTGGGGTTAGAGAGAGAGAAGGGGTCTGGGGTTGGAGAGAGAGGGGATCTGTAGTTAGAGCGAGAGAGATGGGGTCTGGGGTTAGAGAGAGAGAGGGGGGGGGTCTGGAGTTAGAGAGAGAGAGGGGGTCTGGGGTTGGAGAGAGAGGGGAGGTCTGGGGTTAGAGAGAGAGGGGGTGGTCTGGGGTTAGAGAGAGAGAGAGTGGGGGTGGGTCTGGGGTTAGAGAGAGAGAGGGGGTCTGGGGTTGGAGAGAGAGTCTGGGGCTGCAGTGATGGGGGGTTGGTGGTGGCTGCTCTCCCCACAGTGACCACCTCTTGCTGTGACCTGGCCAGGTGGACACCTTCACGATGGAGGCTGTAGACCTGGGGCAGATTTACAAGATCCGGATTCGGCACGACAACACGCTGGCGAGCGCGGAGTGGTACCTGGAGCAGGTGGAGGTGGTGGACGAGAACACAGAGGAGGTCTCGGTCTTCCTGTGCGAGCGCTGGCTCTCCAGAACCAGAGAGGACAAGAGGATCGACCGGGTTTTGTACATCAAGGTACATCATTCAATCCACCACTGTTTGTGGGACGCTGCCGTGCGCAATTGTGGAGTCCTGTAGCTCAGTGGTTGGAGCACTCGCTTTGCAAGTGCCGAGTTCAATCCCCGGCAGAGGGCGAAACCTCGGGCAAGTTTCCTTACTCCACACAGAGCCGAATAATAATCCCTCCAAAACCCAAAACAATAATAAATTGGTCATTTTCAATCCACGACTGTTTGTGGGACATTGCTGTGCGCAATTGACCGCCGCGTTCGCCCACAAATATACAGTCAATTCACTTTACAGTGTGTTCTGTGAAGCGCTTTGGGACGTCCTCCCGACGTGAAAAGTGCTATATCAAATGCAAGGATCATTATCATTATTATTCACCCGGACACCTGTGTGTTTCTCTCCTCTCAGGGTTATGAGGGCGATAGGAAGAGCCTCGTCCCATCCACCCAGGGGTCAAAACTGAGTCTCAGCAACGTTCAGCTCAGGAGCCTAACAGAGGGGTCGACAGAGGAGGGAACCAGTGAGTGACTGTTATACAACACCATGTTACACCGACACAATAACAACGATAACAACAAAATAACAACAGCAACAACACAGTAACAGAAACAATAACAACAACAACACAGTTACAGTAACAATAACAACAACACAGTAACAGTAACAGTAACAACACAGTAACAATAACAACAACAACACAGTAACAGTAACAACAACACAGTAACAGTAACAATAACAACAATAATACGTTACACTTATACATAACAACAAAATAATCAGTAACAGAAACAGAGTAACCATAAACACAATAACAGCAACAATAAAGTAAGAATAAGAAGACATTACACTTATATAAGTAATTTGGGGTCAGTCTGAGACGTGTGGAACAACAACAACAACAACACGATTGCATTTATAGAGCGCCTTTCACGTCGGGAGGACGTCCCAAGGCGCTGTACAGTTGGGTCAGGACCCGAGCATTGGGGAAATGGTCAGGGTGACGGGAGGGAAGGGAGGGAGCGAGGAGGGGGAAATGGTCAGGGTGAGGGGGAGGGAAGGGAGGGAGCGAGGAGGGGGTAGAGAGTCGAGAGGGGAGCTGAAGGCTGAAGGTCAAAGAGAAAGGTCTTGAGACCGGCCTTGAAGGAGGAAAGGGAGGAGGCGGCGAAGGCGCTGGGGGATGGAGTTCCAGTGGTAAAGAGTATCCACAGCAAACTGAGAGACGCGGGTACATCACCGACTGGAAATGTCCCTGGGCCTGGAATAGAATATTCACTCCCTTGCTGGAGGGACACTTTCTGCTCACCTAATTCTGGAGAGTATCAGGCACCGCGGTGTTGGCAAGAGCCAAGGCTTAGGGACCCCAGAGTGTGCGTTGCAGTAACTGCTGGTGTTACTCCAACACACACTCCAGCAAAAAAAAAACATTGGAGAGATTGACTGACAGAGAAAGCAGGAAAGGCAGAGAGACGGAGAGGGAGAGAAGAAGTGAGACGGGCAGAGTGCGGGACCGAGACAGCCAGAAAGAGAGTGAGATATAGACATGGTGCGCTACCACAGCGACAATCTGAGTCAACAACAACAGCAAATGTCATTTACACAGTACCTTTCACATCAGGAGGACGTTCCAAGGCGCTGGACAGTCAGGGATTTGGACCTGAGCTAGGTTTATGGGATCATTGGGGGTGGAGGGCAGGAGGGTAGAGGTAGGAGGGTGACCGCAGGCACGGTCGAAGCGGAGGGGCTTGAGACGGGCCTTGAAGGAGGCAAGAGAGGGGGCAAGGCAAAGGGACTGTGGGATGGAGTTCCAGAGGGTGAGGACAGAGAAGCTGAAGGCCTGACCGTTGATGGTGGGGCGGGCTGTGTGGGGAATGTGGAGAAGGTTGGAGCCCGCTGAGTGGAGGGAGCGGACAGGTCAGTAGGGACTCCCCAGCTTCGGGTCAGTATTATACAGACTGTTCCATGTGATGAGCTGAAAACTGTACTGTTTGCATATCGACATTAGGGCCCCTCACTCGCAGTTGATGTTCCTCTGCCCCTGTCTGTTCCTAGTTATCCCGTACCACATCACCATCACCACGAGCGTCCAACGAGAGGCCGGCACCATGAGCCGGGCTTTCATCATCATCATGGGTCCTCAGAGGATGCGCACGGCCAGGCTCTGGCTGGAACTGCCGCCCGGGAAGAAAGGATTTGTTCCCGGGTCAGTGGAAAACTTCATGGTCAACGGACTGGATGTTGGGGAGATTAAGAAGATTGAGGTAGGACTGAGCGAAGGGGTAAGTTAGGGTCACTTCAAAGGCTCACATTCAGGACCCTTGTCTTAACCTTCCAATCCCTTGACACTGGTACCCTTTCCTTATCTCTGCAAACTCACCTTGCCCCACTCTCCTGCCCACACTCTCTGCTCCAACTCAGGTCATGCACCTCAGACCCTTAGCTCAGTGGTTAGAGCAGTCACCTCGCAAGCAAGAAGACCCGGGTTTGATTCCCGGGCAGAGCGAAACCTTGGGCAAGTTTCCTTACTCCACACGCCTCTGTTTGCCGAGCAGTAAGTAGGAACCCGGTTATTAGTCAATTGGTAAATTGCTTTCCGGGGGATAATAATACCTCCAAAAAAAAAACATTTGGTCACTCAATCCTCGGCTGTTTGTGGGACGCTGTTGTGCACAATTGGCTGCTGCATTTCATCCACAAAATACAGTCAATTCACCTTACAGTATGTCCTGTGAAACGCTTTGAGATGTCTCAACAACGTGAGATAAGGCGCTATATCAAATGCAAGGACTATTTATACATTAAAACAACCCTTCAGAAACAATGGCAGATGTCACCGCTATGTTACCTGACGGAGGTCAGGTGAGATCTGGAAAAATTAATCTTTTCTCGTCTTTCCTGGGAATTTTCTTCGGTGACTCTGCTCCTGTTTCTCTCCGGACACAGTTGGGCCATGATGGAGCCACGCCAGAGAGCTGCTGGTTAGTGGACGAGCTGGAGGTCTCTGTGCCCACCAAAGGAGTCATGTACATGTTCCTCTGTAACTGCTGGCTGGCCAAGGATCGAGGGGACGGCCTGACCTCACGGATCTTCAGCATCCTGGACGCTGAGAACGTTAACATCGGGCAGAAGGTGGGTGTGAGCAGTGAGCCCTGGGTCACTCCAATAAAAATTGATCACTCGATTCACGACTTTTTGTGGGACACTACTGTGCGCAATTGGCTGCTGCGTTTCGCCCATAAAATACACAGTCACTACACTTTACAGTTTACTACCCTATGAAGTGAATGGGTCAGACCAAGCCTTGGCTTTAGATACACTGTGTTAGCAGAGAAAATCATGGAGAAAATCATCCCCCGGAACGGATGCGGCCCATGGACCAGTTGGACCACCCTGATCTCGGGAATGGTGCTTGGGAATGTTATTGGGAGTGGAATTCCTTGCTTGCCCGGTCAGGAGTCTGTGTGATGTCTGCCTGTGTGATTTTTCGGCAGGTTCTCTATGAAATGACGGTGGTCAATGGTGACATCCAGAACGCTGGCACCGACTCCAATATCTACATGACAGTGTTTGGAGCCAATGGGAGCACCGATGAGATGCTGCTGGATAAGAACGGGGACAGGTGGGTGGTCGGGGAGTCAGACCTGCCCACCGTTCCCTGACTCATTCCCTCTCCCATATATAGAGTCTCGTAGCGTATTGGTTAGAGCACTAGCCTCGCAAGCGAGAAGACCCGGCTTTGATTCCCGGGCGGGGCAAAACCTTAGGAAAGTTTCCTTACACCAGTGTTTTCCCAGCAGTATGTAAGAACCCGGTTGTTAGTCGATTGGGGGATCGCTTTCCGGGGGGTAATAATCCCTCAAAAAAAATTGGTCACTCAATCCGCGACTGTGGGTGGGACACTGCCGTGAACAATTGGCTGAAGGTGACACCTCCAGCAGTGCATCGCTCCCCCAGCTCCGCCTGTGGTGGGCTCAACGTCTCAGAGTAAACCCACAATCTTCTGAGATTGTGACTGAGCCAGCCGGACATCAAGAGGGTCATATAGACGGCCATTCACTTTACAGTATATTCAGTGAGACGCTTTGAGACGTCTCAATGATGTGATAAGGCATTAGATCAAATGCAAGGATTATTATTGTTGTTATTATTCATCTGGCCGTCTATATGACCCTCTTGATGTCCGGCTGGCTCAGTCACAATCTCAGAAGATTGTGGGTTTACTCTGAGACGTTGAGCCCACCACAGGCGGAGCTGGGGGAGCGATGCACTGTTGGAGGTGTCACCTTCAGATGAGATGTCAAACCGATGCCTCGTCTGCCTGTTCAGGTGGATATTAAAGATTCCGCGAGGCTCTTGGAGAATAGTGTCCCAGCCAGCAATTCCCCCCCAGATTCCTTTTATTCCTGATGAAATTGGTCATTTCACCCACAAAATATACAGTCAATTCATTTTACTATATATCCTGTGAACTGCATTGAGACATCTCGACGACGGGATAAGGTGCTACATCAAATGCAAGGATTATTATTATGCTTGTTTGTGGGATGTGCTGCCAGTTTGCTTACAAATATACAGTCACCATACTTTACATTGACTCCTGTGAAGCGCTTTGAGATACGTTGTGTGTTATTATTATTATTAATGATAATGTCCATCATGGTGAAGGTTCGAGAGGGGTCAGGAAGATGTCTTTGTCATAGAGATAGAGGATATCGCTCCACTGAGGAAGATCAGAATCCGCACGGAGACCAAGGGGAATCGGCCGGACTGGTTCCTGGACAAGGTGAGCTTTGGCTTCACACGTTCGGCTGAAGAGAATGTGGGAGGAGAGGGGAAGAGATGGAGAGGTGGAAGGAAACTTTCCTTTTATTATGAATTAATGATGAAATAATGTGCTCACAAATTGGATGTTAAATAATTGTTTCCTGTAATATAGTTCCACCGTCAATGATTATACACAGAGCCCATTCCATAGCAGTTAGAGCAATCGCCTCACAAGCCAGAGGGATTGGGTTTGATTCCCAGACAGGGCGAAACCTTAGGCAAGTTTCCTTGCTCCACACGCCTCTGTTTACAGCACTAAGTAGGAACCTGGTTGTTAGTCAATTGGCAGATTATTTTCCGGGGGTAATAAGCCCTTTTTTAAAAAAAATGTGGCCACTTTATCCTAACAGTTTGTGGGACGCTGCTGTCCGCGATTTGGCTGCCGGGTTTCACCCACAAAATATACAGTCAATTCACTTTATAGTATATTTTGTGAGGCGTCTTGCTGATGTGATAAGACACCGCCAGGCGTCCACGTAATGGATGCCAACTAAAATATTTTCTTCCGTGTTCTCTCCACTTCTCCTTATCAGGCAGTATATTTCTGGTTAACAAAGTCAAGCCCACTGTGTTTTTTTTTTGCAGGGATATAGGGGAGATGTTTTAGAGACAAAGATGTCTCACAGTACTCCTCCAATCATTGTCTCTGACACTCCCTCCGAAAACACCATAGCTCGTGCTGTTCTCCCCTCCTTCAAAACCTTCTCCGCTGAAAAAAAATTGTCCTTGCACCTCCCTACCCTCTGTAACCTGTTAACTCCATACCTACCGGCCCACTGCCTCCATTCAGTGGACTCTGGCCTGCTTCAAGTCCCCCCGCTCAGCCCGCCCCACCATCGGCGGTTGGGCCTTCAACCTCTCTGCCCCACTCTATGGGAAATCCATCCCACAGTCCCTTCGCCTCGCCCTCCCTTGCCTCCTTCAAGGCAAGTCTCAAGACCCTCCTCTTCAATGATGCCTTCCATTACCATTGAAGAGGAGGGTCTTGAGAAAACCCTGATTGTCCAGTGCCTTGCGATGTCCTTCCAACATGAAAGGTGCTGTACAATTATTGTTTGTTGTCGTTGTTGAGATGCTGTTGATCTTAGAGCTGCTGTATCAAATGTGAGTATTATTGTTAATATTATTGATATTGTTATTAATATATAAATGTAATCTGTTGTTGTGGTGGTGGTGCGGGATGGTGGATTGTTATGGGGAATGGGCACTGGCTGCTGTGGTGGCCAGTCACTATACACTGGGTGGGGATGCCCAGCTGATGGTCTCTCCACTGGTGGCTTTAGATAATCCTGAGGAACCTGTCCACGGAGGATGTGAGCACTTTCACTAACAACGAGTGGTTGTCAAGGACCCGCGGCTCCAAACCCACCACCGTCTGTGAGATGGGGGCCGTCATCGAGGGGGAGGAGACCGTGGAGAAGACCACCTATTCCTTCAGCGTGAAAACCAGCGACGTCTCAGGTCAGACCCTGGCCCGGCCACGTGGGCACAACCAGGACAATGAAAGAACTCTGTTCCCTGTAATTCGTGGAACTCTGTAGCTCAGTGGTTAGAGTGCTCGCCTCGCAAGCGAGAGGACCCGGGTTTGACTCCTGGCAGGGCGAAACCTTGCGCAAGTTACCTTACGCCACACGACTCTGGTTACTTTGTAGTAAGTAGGAACCCAGTTGTCAGTCAATTGGCGGATCGCTTTCCGGGGGTAAAAATACCTAAAAAAAAAGGCACTCAATCACTTTTGTGCGATAATATTCTGCGCAATTGGCTGCTGTGTTTCGCCTACAAAATACAGACCATTCACTTTACAGTATATTATGTGAAGCGTCTTGAGACGTCTCAACGACGTGATAAAGCAACAACAACAACAAGATTCCATTTATAAAGTGCCTTTCACGTCAGGAGGACGTCCCAAAGCGCTGCACAGTTGGGTCATGACCCGAGCAGGGGGGAAATGGTCAGGGTGAGGGGAGGGAAGGGAGGGAGCGAGGAGGGGGGAAATGGTCAGGGTGAGGGGAGGGAAGGGAGGGAGCGAGGAGGGGGTTGAGAGTCGAGAGGGGAGCTGAAGGCTCGGTCAAAGAGAAAGGTTTTGAGACCGGCCTTGAAGGAGGAGAGGGAGGAAGCGGCGAAGGCACTGGGGATAGAGTTCCAGAGCCTCGGGGCTGAGAGGCTGAAAGCCCGACCACCGATGGTAGGGCGGTTGGGGCGGGGGACGTGGAGCAGACCGGAGCCGGAGGAATGGAGGGTACGGGCAGGTAGGTAGGGGGATAGTAGGTTGGAGAGGTAGGAGGGAGCAAGGCCGTGAATGGCCTTGTAGGTGAGGATGAGGATCTTGAAATCAATCCTCTGGGGGATGGGGAGCCAGTGGAGGCGAGCGAGGGTGGGAGTGATGTGGTCCCGAAGCCTGGTGCGGGACAGTACTATGTCAAATGCAAGGATTATTATTATTCCCTGTAATCATTCCCCATAACCTTTGAGGATCTGCAGTGTTCCAGGGCACCGCTGATGACAGACCAGCCTGGTTCATTGACAGGACCTGAAAGGTCCTCCATCCCCCTCCCCCAGTAACTGGGGGTGAGAATCCTCCCACTCAGCTCCTGTTAACCCTGCAAGCCAAAGCCTTAATGGGTAGGTAGGTTGTTCTCAGCTGAACAAGCAGCAGGAAAGCTCGCCAGACAGTGCTCTCGATGGCAAGCAATGTAGTTTTAGCTGTTCGACTCCAGCAGTCACCCCAACACCCGCCACAAGCCTTGGCACTCGCCACCTACATCTGATACGTTCCAGAGGTCGGTAAGCAGGACGTGTCCTCCAGGGAGAGAGTGCGTATTCCATTCCAAGGTCACGGAAGTAGTGTTTGTGCAGATTACTTTTGAATTTACCCTCCCTCAATCGCAGGCTGTGTACTCTGTTTCCACTGTTCTGGACCAGATGAAGCAGCTTGTCACATTATCTAGTCCGATGAAGTTTCCCAGAAGAGAGATTTTTTTTTGCTCAGCCGGGTGTCTGGCACACGCGGAAACCCATCACCGTTGCTTAAGAGTCTCCAAACCAAACTGAGAATTCCCCGCCTCCCACCTACACATGGAAATCCCAGAGAAAGATTGTTGGAATGGAATGCGCTCTCTCTCTCTTCCTCTCTCTCTCTCCCTGGAGGGATGCATCCTGCTTACCTAATTCCAGAGAGTATTAGGCACAGGTTGACAAGGTTTGGGGACCCCAGAGCGTGCGTTGGGGTGACTGTCGGAGTCTAAGCAGCTAAAACTGCATCGCTTGCCATTGAGAGCACTGTCTGGCACGCTTTCCCGCTGCTTGTCCAGCTTGGACCACCCTACCTGTTAGGGCTTTGGCTTGTGAGCATTAACAGGAGCTGAGTGGGAGGATTTCCTGCCCTCAGTTGGGAATGGCTCCATTGTGAATAAGTGTATATGTGGATTCTGGGTGGCAGCGGGATGGAGGGGGCAAGGGGAGGGAGATGCTCTCTCGCTCTCTCTCTCTCTCTCTCTCTCTCTCTGACTCGCTGTGTCCTGGCGGCAGGAGCTGGGACGGACGCCAACGTGTTCCTCATCGTGTTCGGGGAGAACGGGGACACGGGCACGCTGGCCCTGAAGGAGTCCAACAACAGCAACAAGTTTGAACGCAAACGGACGGACATCTTCAAGTTCCCGGACATGCTGAGCCTCGGCAACCTGTCCAAGGTCCGTGTGTGGCACAACAACAAGGGTGAGAGGACAGCCTGGGGGAGGGAGGGGGCGGGGGGGAGGTGGGGAGCGCGAAGAGCATAGCTCGGGGGGACTGGGTAAGAGCCCAGCTGGGAAGAGGTGGGGGGAGAGACAGGAGTAATGGGGAGCACAAGTTTGGAGGGCTATGGGGAGAGCGCGGGGGCTCAGTCTCACTGTAACTGAGACCAGGAGGTGTAACGAGGGCAGGTTGACCCTTTTGCCCACTCCCCGTGTGCCCAGGGCTCGCTGCAGGCTGGCACCTGGAGCTGATTGAGGTGAAGGACGAGGCCATGGACAAGATCTTCCGCTTCCCGTGTGACCGCTGGCTCGCCAAGGACGAGGACGACAGGCAGATACTCCGCGAGCTCGCCTGTGCCAACAACGACATCCTGGATTTAATGGAACGCACACGTAGGTTACACTCTTCTCTCCCCTTCCTCACTCTCTCTATTCCTCCCTTCCTCTCCCACTCCCTCTCCGACTCCCCCTCCCTCCCTCAATTCCTCCCTCTCACCCTCCCTTCCTCCTTCTGTCCCTCCCTCCCTCCTCTCCCACACTTCCTCACTTGCGCTCTCTCTTCCCCCACCCCCTCACCTCCCTTCCTCCCTCCATCCCTCTCTCCCTGCTCCTCTCTGACTCTCTCCATCCCCTTCTTTCACTGTCTACTGTGTGATCTACTGTTTGATGGCTTTGAGACACTATCTTGGGAGAAAGGTGCTGTATAAATGCTTGTTGTTGTTGTTGTTGTTTGTTTGTTGTTGACCCGTGGCTCCTGGTTTACCAGGCTCCTGGGCAGTGATCCTGGAGTCTGGCTGATGTCTCTCCCGCCTTTCTCCAAGGCTACGAGATCCGAACCAAAACCAGCGACAGAGATGACGCTGAGTCCAAGGAGAACGTCTGGATGGTCCTCGAGGGCAAGAAGGGACGATCCAAGGAATTTATGCTGGAAAACTCCACCAAGAGGAAGAAGTTCCTGAGGTAACATGAGACTAGCTGCTCTACAGAGCTCTACAAAGATTCCACCCCCATATATAACGCTGGCAACGCTTACACAAACCACGTGTCTGTCAAGTAACCCTCCATCTCCTTGAGGGGAAGGTAAGTGGAGAGCTGAACTGAATGTCAGAATGGATCCACCCCTCTGTGGGGGTCTCGAGTCCGGTTCCTGGGCCAGGCTGGTCCGCAGTCCAGATTAGAGCGTTCACCTCGAAACTGAGACGACCCAGGATTGATTTCCAGGTGAAACTTTAGGCAAGTTTCCTTACTACACCCGCCTCTGTTTACGTAGCAGTAAGTAATAACCCGGTTGTTAGTCAATTGGTGAATCGCTTTCGGGGGAAAACAATCTCTTCAAACAAATATTGGTCACTCAATCCATGACTGCTCGTGGGACACTGGGTGCTGCGTTTCGGCCACAAAATACACAGCGCTTTAAGATGTTTCAACGGCGAGATGCAGCGCTACATCAGATGCAAGGATTATTAGTAATGATAGTATGAAATTTTGTGGTTATAAAGCCATTATTATTATTATTATTATTATATGCTCACAGGGGGGCCATAGATAAGTTTGAGTTTTCCTCCAAGAACGTGGGTGACATCGCCACGGTGTGTGTCGGCCACTGCCCGCGGGACGGCAAGAAGGTCACGGCCAAGAGCCACGCTCACTGGCATGTGGCTGAGATTGTGGTCACCGAGATGGAGGTCGGCAACAGGTAACTTGGGGGAGATGGAGGAGGGGCAGCTGTGTGGCTCTGTGTCTCTCCCCAGTCACTGTGTGGCTCTGTGTCTCTCCTCAGTCACTGTGTGGCTCTGTGTCTCTCCCCCCAGTCACTGTGTGGCTCTGTGTCTCTCCCCAGTCACTGTGTGGCTCTGTGTCTCTCCCCAGTCACTGTGTGGCTCTGTGTCTCTCCCCAGTCAATGTGTGGCTCTGTGTCTCTCTCCCCAGTCACCGTGTGACTCTCTCTCCCGGGTCACTGTGTGACTCTGTGTCTGTCTCTCTCCCCAGTTATTGTGTGACGCTGTGTCTCTCCCCCCAGTCACTGTGTGACTCTGTGTCTCTCTCCCCCCAGTCACTGTGTGGCTCTATGTCTCCCTCCCAGTTGCTGTATGACTCTCTCCCTGGTCGCTGTGACTCTCTCCCTGGTCGCTGCGACTCTCTCCCTGGTCGCTGTGACTCTCTCCCTGGTCGCTGTGTCTCTCTCCCTGGTCGCTGTGTCTCCCTTTCAGGTATGTGTTTGAGTGTAACAGTCGGGTGACCCTAAGCCACCGGAGGGACGACTTCAAAGCCTTCGAGTGCACCAAGATGGTGGAGAGCTTCGCCAGCAAGGTCCGCAACCTGGTGCCGGTGAAATACGAGATCATCGTGGTGACGGGGGACGTGAAGGGCGCGGGGACAGATGCCAACGTCTTTCTGACCATCTACGGCACCAACGGCAACTCCGGCTGCCGGCAGCTCAAGCAGAAGTTCCGGAACCTGTTTGAGCGCGGACGGACAGACCGCTTCCTGCTGGAGATGCTGGACCTGGGCGAGCTTTACCGTCTCCGGGCCGAGCAGGACGGGGGAGGACACGCGGCCGGGTGGCTGCTGGAGCGCATGGAGATCACAAACATCGCCACCGGCGTCAGCACCATCTTCCCTTGCGGCAAGTGGCTGGACAGCAAGAGAGGCGACGGCAGGACCTTTCGGGAAATCTACCCTAAATTTTAACGCATTCCGGGCGCTTGGCGGAGAGATACTGTCGAGCACAGTGACTGTCGAGTCCTGTAGTGTAGTGGTTAGCGCGATCGTCTCGCAAGCGAGAGGACCTGGGTTTGATTCCCAGGCAGGGCCAATCCTTAGGAAAGTTCGTTACTCCACAACTCTGCAGTAGGTAGGAACCCGGTTGTTAGTCGATTGGCGGATCACTTTCCAGAGATAATAATCACTCCCAAGAAAAATGGATCTGGTCACTCAATCCACGAGTGTTTGTGGGACGCTGCTGTGCGCAATCGGCTGCCCCGTTTCGCCCACAAATATGCAGTCAATTCACTTTACAGTGTATTCTGTGAGATGCTTTGAGATGTCTCGACGATGCGATCAGACGCCACATCGAATGCAAGGATTATTATTTATTTGGAGGCGAACGGGGCGGCCATTTTGCACTGACAACTGTGAAGTGGCAACTGTGGCTGATTTATTTGGGGGACTGTCGGCCAGGACACCGGGAGAGAGAAAGTCCCTCTTTTCCCCAAAGTGCCGCAGGAGATCTTTAACGTCCGCTTGAAACATCCCACCTGACAGGTGATTCCTTATCGACTGGGCCCTAAGAGCAGGCGAGCGAGGTGTCTGTGTTAGTGAGGCCATCGCAGTCTCTGGTCCCCATAGACTAGTCTTTCTTACTGTGAATTGTTGCCAATTTATTGCTTTGCTGGGGTTGGGTTGGGTTGCGTTGGGTTGGGGGTGCGGGGTGTCACGTGCAACAAATAGGACCAGCCGTCGGCGTCACTTGATCACACGCTGGTGACATCAGAGAGAAATGGTTACCAGTGCCATCATCGGGAGCTGGGAATTGCCTGGAGTTCTCCGGATTCCCGGCCATTGGAATCAGAAGCCCAATGGGACTCGGCGGCAAACAGGACTCAGTCCACAGGATCACCAGAGCATTTGTTTATTTTTTGGTTAGCCGGGTGTCTGACACCTAAACACATCTAAACCCATCACCTCACCTTCACGACCCTCCACGGCCTCGCTCCTTCCTACCTCTGTGACCTGCTAACGCCATAACAACCTGTCCACTCCCTCCGCTCACCAGGCTCCAGCCTGCTCCACGTCCCCAGTCCGGCCCTCCCCACCATTGGCGGTCGGGCTATCGGCCTCTTTGTCTCCATCCCCCAGTCCCTTCGTCTTGCCCCCTCCCTCGTTCTTCAAGGCTCGTCTCAAGAACACCCTCTTTGACACACCTTTGGTCACCATCCTGCTCTTACCCTCCCTCACCTCCTGAGCCCAACTCCAGCTCGGGTACAAATTCCTGACTGTCCAGCGCCTTGGGACATCCCCCCGACGTGAAAGGCGCCGTGTAAATTGTTGTGTGATTGAGTCTCCAAACCAATCAGAAACCTACCAACGCATGGAAATCCCAGGGATAGATTGTTGCGCTCTCTCACTCTCTCCCTGGATGAAAGCAAATCCTGCTTACCCAATCCCAAAAAGTATTAGGCGAAGGTTGGCAAGAGCCAAGGCTTGGGGACCCCAGAGTTTGAATGAATGAATGGAAAAATTAAGGCCCATCTCCCCCCCCCCATCTCTCTCTGTCATTTTCATTACTATTTCCTTCTAGAGGTATTGCTGTTCACAGGGTCAGTGACCCCCGCCCCCCCACCCCAAACCATCCAATGTACAAGCTGAATCATTGGCCACGGATTATGGGGGCATGAGGGGGACATTGGTAATCGGCATGTCCTGCCCTCTTTCCGTGCAATTTACCACGGAGGGGGAAGGTGGGCCGAGACTGAGGAGAACTTGGCAGTGATTGATTAGCAGGAGATGATGGGATGGATTTGGGGAAGCATTTGTAGGATACTGATGGTGAGTGAACCTCCCAAACCACACACAGTGTCAGACAGGAGCAGAGCATCACTGCAGTGACCACATTGCCTTGTCCTCAGGCCTCAGACCCCCAACCCCTCCACCCCCCGACACTAACACAGTGGTTGGGTCTAATCACCCCTGGCCACAGCCAAAGGCTCTGCCAATCTGTGGAGGGATACCTCATGAAATAGTAATGTAACCCAGTCACTTTAGTTATCAATAAGCCCGACTGTGTTTATTGATCAGCAGTAGGGGGCACCTGTTTATTGATTGCAACTGGGGGTCAGGGTTGCCCCCAAAATGGCCTCCAACATCAGACAGATACCGAGGACGGGAAATATTAAAGGGGGGTGGGGCGGTGTATATGTCTGAGTGCTGGGGAAAGAGGAATTAGACTGGGGTCATGGGGAGGGGGCCCCAAAAATTCAGTGGCAGCATTTTCCCTGCAGTTAGGGCTCCCCACCCACCACCCAACAGCTAAGGGAACCATCCCAGAGGCTTCCCGCCCACCCCCGCCCCCCCACCTTGTGCCACAGGGCTGCTCAGCCGGCGCGTGTGACAAATGTGTGACAAGTGTTATATCGAAGCCTCGTCTGCGACCACAGACGTACCCCAAGAAATAAAACCTTCCATTTTTTTAAACTATATTTTTTATTGGACGTTTATTCTCATTGCCCTTCCCTTCTCGTCCCTCGGTGAAGGGGGAGAAGAGAGGAGGGAGGGGAGCAGGGGGTGGGGGGGGGGGGGGGGGGAGGCTGAATCAACTGGGAGGTTTGAAAAGGAGATATATATATAATAATGAACCACCTCTCCCCCCCATCACCCCCCCACCATCTTGTGTCTTAACGGGGAACAGAGGCCACTCCATCCCAGCCACACACGCATGCAATTACTCACACACACGCACCAACACTCATACACACACACCTGTATCCTGCGAAGCGCTTTTGAGACGTCTCAACGGCGTGATAAGGCGCTGTATCAAATGCAATAATGTTATTACTATACAGACGGAGAGAAGCGGGAGCCAGTGAGCAGCTTTTATTAGTATTTTTTATTAGCATCAGCAGCATCGCCAGGCAGGGACCAGGATCTGACGATGATCACCGATGAACTTTTTCATCTGATAAACCAACAGAATAAATACTTTATAAAATATTCCACTCGCATGACCCCCGGCGACAGGGCCTCTCGCACAGCCAGGCACTTAAATGGACAGACACATCCGGGGGGGTGGCGGGAGAGAGACAATATAACATGGTGGAGGGGGCGGGCGGGCGGGGGGGGAGGGGGGGGTGGTTTTGGGAGTAAGGTTGAAAATTTTGTTCGCTTGCTCTGTGTCTGCGGACACAGTGACCGTAGACGTTTCAATCGTAAGAAAAAGAAAATTCCTCCGCACCTAAAATACATCGAGATCCTTCACTTGGCTTTTTAATAAAACATTTTCCAGTGGTCGCACCTGAATGAATAAATAAATACATAAATAAACAGATCGCAAAGAAAAAATATAAAACCTCCGCTTGAAAATGAAATCCAGTCCCTACAGCGTTAGCAATAAATAGTGATTGTTGAAGAAAATATTTAAGGCCTCTGAGATGATTCACATCCGAATGTTCTGTGGTGTAGTGACTGTGCAGGTCAACATGGAAGCCAATTTGCAATTGGTCTCGACCCTCTCCCCGCCCTCCCCGACCCCTACACCATGTGCAAATCATGGGTAAAGCCATGTGTAAACACTACGCTCTAATGCACCGTGTGTAAACCATGTGCAAACATGGGTTTAACAATACTTTAGAAGACAATAAATTGACACCATTATTCGGGAATCCAGTCTCTCCCAGCCTCAAGCCCAGTGAGCTGGGATCCAACGGGAAGACTCCGAGGTGAAGTAGCCGTGCGGAGAGAAGGGAAAAGGCCACAGGAAGAGATAGAGGAGGGAGGGATGGAGCAGCGCGTCCATCAGCTGTCCCCCAGCAGTTGGGTCTGGATGTCCAGCCTGCAGAGCGGGCACTTACTGCTGGTTTCCAACCACTGGTCCACACAGGTCTGGTGAAACACGTGCATACATGGCAGCCGCCTGGGGAGAGAGGGAGAGAGAGAGAGAGAGAGTGTGTGAGGGAGGGAGAGAGACACACACGTACATACACACTCGTAAAGAGAGTCTGAGAAAGGGGATTTGGGGGAGGCAGAGAGAGAGGGGGAGACAGACAGAGAGGGAGGGAGAGACAGAAAGATAGAGAGAGAAAGAGGGAGAGATGGAGCGGGGCAGACAGAGAGATAGAGAGAAAGAGGGAGACACAGAGAGAGAGAGAGAGAGAGATAGACGGGGACAGGCAGACAGAGAAAGAGAGAGGGGGAGAGAGATAGAGACCCACAGAGGGAGTCAGAGAAAGAGAGAGCATGACAGAAAGAGGGAGAGAGAACAAGAGAGAACAATAAAATCACTAGGTCTTGAGCGGCCATCTCCCTCTCTCTCTCTCTGTCATCCGTGCCAGAAGTTTATGCCCCCCATGCCCGCGCCCACCCACTCCCAGGCTTCCTTTCTCCCATTGCGGGGGCTTCAACCCCAGGTACACAGACAGAAACCCATCACCGTGAAACTATGTGAAACTATCACACGTGTCTGTCATCTACACATGGAAATCTCCCAGTGTCTGGAATGCAATCCGCACTCTCTCCCTGGAGGGACGCCCCCTGCTTACCTAGTTCCGGAAAGTATTAGGCGCAGGTTGGCAGGAGCCAAGGCCTGGGGGGAGCCCAGAGTGTGCGTTGGGGTAACTGCTGGAGTCCAACCAGCTAAACCAACATGACTTGGCCATTGAGAGCGCTGTCTGGCAGCTTCCCCGCTGCTTGTCCAGCCAGGACCACCCTCCCCGTTAGTTAGGGCTTTGGCTGTAGGGTTAACAGGAGCTGAGGGGGAGGATTCCCGGCCCCCAGTGACTGGTCGGCCCTTCCAGGTCCTGCCGCTGAGCCGGGCCGGGCTGTGCTGCCATCAGCAGCGAGTGCCCTGGAATCCTGAGGACCTGCCCGGCTCTGGAACCAAACCGGAGGGTGGACAGAGGGTGGTTCCAACATTCCGTTGCCAAACTTGTCACTTTTGGGCCAGTTCAGCTACAGGGAGACCCCGTACCCACTCAGACAGTCACCAGTTGATT